GTTCCTACGAAAATCTACCAGTGTATGGCCAGATTTAACATGAATTCAAAAGTCCCTGGGGCTGTTACAAGGGCAAGGGAAGATGCAAGGTAAATACTGCAAGGTGAATGTATTTTACAAAGCTACATTTTTTTCAGTTTAACGTATTGATTTTTACAGCACATAACTGACCTTTGTTCTGCACATTGATTTTACAGCTTCCACATAATTAGTTAGCTAAAGACCACCAAACTGTAATCTAGAATGCATAATAGTGATGAGGAAAGTGAAGATGCATTGCCAAAAACTGCAATGAAATACAATTCTAGTTCAGAAAAAAGCCATGCCGTGTGCTGCAATTGCATACACATAATAAACATACAATTATTCTGCTGAAATACCAACTAGACTTCTACATTTGGTGTGCTGAAATCTTTAATTATGTGTAACTGAGCAGTTATAAAATGTTTGTACTATGCTAACCATCAGATCTATTTATTTCCTTCCCTAATTTATTCAATTAGCATTATGTGCATCACTGAGCATGTACTGTAATAGATGGATTAAATCTTTTTTTCACACAATCTGTAGAAAAATGTACTATATCAAGTGAATCTGTACTTTGAAGAGCAAAGACCTTGTTTTACTTAAAGCTGATCTCCGGCACAACAGTTTTAATTTAAAAATATCCTTCAGTAGCCACAAAGGATATAGGTCCACTTTGTATGCCCCAAATGGCAAATATTACCTTTTAAAAGTAGCAGTAACATCACCACTGTGCTGTACATAGCCTGTGCAGAAAGCAGAGTTTTGGGAAGGATCCAACAGGCCCCACTCAAACTACAGGAGAGGGCAGAAACCAGACCAGTCATCCTATACAAGGAGAGAGTGACTGATCTTTATTACAGGAAGCTCCTGTACAGAGATAAAGTTTCACACTGGATTACTGCCAGTGGAGGACCTAAGGAACAAAGGGCCCTAGTGCAAGATTTCTTTTTGTTCCCCCCCCCCAAAAAAAAACACAGCGCTCGGCCGGCTTTTACTTTCTCTCCTCCCCGCTGGGACACAGAGCAGCGCCCAGCGGGGAGGAAAGAAAGCAGGGATGAGAAAAATTGCACTTTCGGCATTTAGCCAAAAGTGCCATTTACGGCCGATATGTTTTGGCGGCCTAAATATATGGTGCATACCTAATATTTACAGCAATGCAGAATGGCACAGGCTACAGAGGACTACACATCCCATCAATACTTTATATAACAATAGCATTTCTGTATAAAGTACTGCTGAGATTTGTAGTCCTCTATAGAGGGTGCCACCCTATTGCTATCACATAGGGGGGCTAACAAGCACCCTATGTAATAGCAGATAGGGTTTGACAGGTCCTCTTTATGAAGGCATCAGGGGACCCCAAAGAAGCTGAGGAAGCCGAGATCTGCTTCCCCAGCTTCTTGCCCTGGCTCTAAGAGCCAGAGACTGTGTACAGTGACACCGGAAGTGATGTAATACACATCACTTCCGGGTCCAGTGATCGGAGGAGAGATCAGTGGCTGGAAGCTGCTTAATCTCTCTCTGATCATTGCGGAGAGATCCACCGAGCTGCTCCCGGGCACCGCACAGGGATAGCGGTGCCCAGGGAAGCCAACAGCGGCCGTAGCAGGGGGGCGCCGCACGGCACAAATGATCCAGCGGCTGTACAGACACCAGATCGCTTGTAAATTATACAGCAATCGTCTGCTGTTAAAAGCGGTACAAAGAGCACGGCTACCAAAGCAGCCGTGTTCTTGTTTTAACCACTTCTGCAGGGCCGCCGTCTATGGATGTACTGCGGCCTGGAAGTGGTTAAAGTGACATTAAAGTCAAATGTAAATGTCAACACTTACCTTAACTGATGTCTCTTAATCCGATCTTCTTCTTCTTCTTTCCTGATGTTTTCATCTGTCCCTCCAGCGGTGCAGCGGGTCTCCGATCCGGAGCTGACTCCTCTGTGCTTGCTGGCACTTCCTGTCCCACGTTGTCTACATGCGGGTGCACGGCGTCCATAGACTTACCTTGTGTCTCTCCTTGTCTCCCGGCTGAAAATCCGAACTGCGCATGCACCCGCCCCAAGATGCTTTGCGAGCACCTGAGCAGTTTCGGATTTTCGGACAGGAGCGCGCGGCGAAGACAGAGGTAAGTTTAAAGCACTGCTTAAAGCGTAAAAAAAAAACTTTTTGCATATATCTACTGCTTGCTAGCCTTATATATATGCAAAAAAGCCGGAGGGTTTAATAACCTTTTAATACTCACCTAATCCCTGGAACGACCGACAAGCGCAGACTCCCGTCTCTCAGGCTGTCAGAATATGCATACAGAGCGTGTCGGTAACTTTTTAAACCGGCACGCTGTGTGCAGCTTCTGAGAAGATACATATTAGCGTAGCGGGGAAGCCGGCTGCGCATTTTGCATACCTCCCGCTACGTTAATAGCAGCGTATCTTCTCAGAAGCTGCACACAGCGCGCCGGTTTAAATAGTAACCAGCACGCGCTGTATCCATATTCTGACAGCGTGAGAGGCAGGACGCTGCGCTTGTCGGTAGAACGGATCAGGTGAGTATTAAAAAAAAAAATACATTTATTTTATGTTCCCGGGACATCTAAATGTAAGACTGGGGGCCCGCCGGCCGCTGGATACCGATCCGGTGCCATCCGGCAACTGTGCTGGGCCCCCCAGGCTGAGGCCACAGTGCGGCCGCACCGGCGATAGTTCCGTCACTGATTACTGCACAGATCTGGAAGAAATACATAAAGCACACCCGGATTCAAGTAAGAATACACTTGCCGCCAGAGCCTACAGGCATACAAACTTTGGCACCATAAGTAACATTCTTCTTCTAGGATCACCTCTTATAATAAGGACATTCACTTATTTTAGTAAATCCTAACCTGGCTTAGAACATTGTTATGATGTCTAGTGTTTCTGATGATGAAATGATGGGGGAAAAAATGTGCGGCCAATAATTATAAATTGAAAAGCCACCTCTTTGCCTCTGGTGCCTATAGGTATGTGTCTGCTCTGCCTAATGGTAAACCCAGCCCTGAGCTAGTGTAAATTCCCCAGTTTAGCATGGTATCGGTGTAATGGATGTGGTTAAGTGACTATGATAAAAATGCCTATTTCAATATATATATATATATATGTTATTGCTCCTATTGCAATCCAGTATACTTGGAGAGACAAGGGGCAGGACTAGGAGCCAATCAAGTGTGCTTCATGCAAAGGAACATGCTTAAAGGAGAAGAGATTAAAGTGTGCAAAAGGATAATCTTATCTGTCTGCTGCTGCTCATTTACTATCCAAACAGCAGGTTGTGGGTAGAGAGAGGACACCACTCTATTCCTTAAAGTGAAACTAAGAGATCTGGGGCTGTGGGAGGTCTTGCCATAATGTGCACATTATGGTGCACTTACCTCCTACTGTGCCCTCCCCCTGGGATGACAGATCCATGATCCTCTCTCTGCTACATCTGCCACCACTTCTTCCAGGTCCAGCAATGCACCTTTTTGCCCATTGGACAGTCACATATGGTGTTTGTAGGAGTTACATTGTTGCTGGCACCAGGCTCCATTTTTGGCATTACAAAAATGAGTCGGGATTTACATTTACTACGAGCCAGAAAAAAGGTTTTGAGAAAAGAGACTTTGCAAGTCTTTTCTGCAAAAAAACTTTACCTCTTAGAGATTTTCTGTTGCAATACTTTAGTTTCGCTTTGACTGTAAGTGGTGCCAACCATCTGGCTCTGCTGTGTGATGTGGCTGGGTATATCACAGGACTAAAATAGATAGGGAAACAAATCCGTTGGCAGTAAAACAGCTTCCTGTTTTTTTATCTGTATAGCAAGTCTGCCTGGAGTTCAGCTTCAATTCTATCATTTTACAACTGCTTGTGCACCCAATAACCAAGCAAAAGGTAAGGTGGGTCAAGTCACATGGTCCCCGTACCCAGCATGGACAAGACATAGGTTGACTTTAAAGGGTATATCCAACTTACATAGAGTTGTTTGCAAAGACTGCAAATGTATAAGTGTAAGTATCTTGACCCAGACCTCAGATTTCTAGGCCAATGCCTCTTTAGTGTAGCCAGTGGCGTAACAATAGCCATAGCGGCCCTTGCGGCTGCTATGGGGCCTGGGGGTGGAAGGGGGCCCCATGAAGGATTGAAGTTGCTGTTAACCCTGACATTACTATTTAAGAAGAGCTGAGATCAGATATACAGGTGGGGTGGGGGTGGGGGGTTATGCAGGCAGCTCTCCTGCTATCTGACTTTAATATCATTGACAGTAGAGAGGTTGCTGGGGGACCTCAAAAATGTTTTGCTATGGGGCCCCATGATCTGTGGTTACGCCCCTGAGTGTAGCTGTTGTAGTTCATGCTCAATCAGAAAACAAATAAAATTTGCTCTGTGTGGCCAGCACATGGAGCAAGCAAGTGACACATTGACAATCTATAGGAAAGAGAATCTATAGGAAAACTAGTAGGGTCATTTATGAAAGTTCTAACGGCATATAGCCGAGCAAATGCTGTTTGCATGGCACTAACACCCCTACATGACGTTGATGAGTATAAGAGATTTCTAGACTCGTCAGCACCATCTAAGAGTGCAAGTGCCATGTTATAAATAAAATGCCTATGCTTAAACTTTCGTAAACTCTTCCTTTACTCAAAGTGTGTTCTTCCTTTACCCAAATTAAATCTTGCATTGCAAGATTTAATTCTCAATTTTCACTCAGTGCAGCTTCAGGGTATGGATAATGAAAGCTTCTTCCAACAACAGTATTAAAGATTTCAAAGAGTTGATGTTTTTCAAGCATATAACCTTCATGGGTTCTGAGATTTGCCCAGCTCTGCTTACAATACTTTTATACTTTAGTGCCTTGTGTGTCTTGATACTTGATACTGCAAAATGTAATTAATTAACAAGCCATGAGAAATTTGATTAGTAAGTCTAAATAGCTAAGATTAACCATGCAGCCCAACCAACATACCAAACAGCTGGGGAGAGACTGAATCACCATCTGCGTATGCTATGTACTTCCAGTAATTATCTCGGAGCATGTAGGTTGACGCATTTGCATCAGATCCATGAAACTGACTCAGTGCCCAGTTAGGATGCAAATTGGAACTTGATAAAATATCATTCTGTGACGTTGCAGATAATAATGGCACCAGCGAGTAACCGCTTATGTTTTGAGGAACAGGCAAACCGGCAATTTCTAAAATAAAACAAAACAAAGGAATAACTCCACCGACATAAAAGGTACAAAATAATCGTGAAGTAGTTGTATCACTTGGCTTACATTATTTGCATTTGCAATTCTGTTTACTCTGTGGGACAAAATAACCTGACGTATTATAATCATACTTAGATGACCAGCGGGGTTTGGAGTTAACAATGGTCCATCAAACTCAAACCAGCTGTACATTCTAAAAGAACAAATCCAGAGGGAAGCAAAATTAACCACGTAATTCAAGAGCTGCGAACCTTCCTAGTGCTGCACTCATATACATTCCCTAAAACAATGGGTAAATACAGGTGAAACTCGAATAATTAGAATATCGTGCAAAGTTCATTTATTTCACTAATGCAACTTAAAAGGTGAAACTAATATATGAGATAGACTCATTACATGCAAAGCAAGATAATTCAAGCTGTGATTTGTCATAATTGTGATGATTATGGCTTACAGCTAATGAAAACCCCAAGAACCCCAAATCCACAACCTCAAAAAAGTAGATTATTACATGCAATCAATAAAACAAGGATTGTACATAGAGCAATATCGGACCTCTGAAAAGTACAAGCATGCATATGTACTCGGTACTTGGTTTGGGCCCCTTTTGCAGCACTTACTGCAATTACTTTTGCACGATATTCTAATTATTCGAGTTTCACCTGTATGTGTAATACATTCTAATAGCATCTCTTAATACCATTTCACATAATGGTTCCATGGACAAGACTGTAGACTGGGATAATTAAGCAGTGCATCGGCTGCAAGTGAGGACAAAATGTGATAAGAACTCATAATTTATCTTCACTGATTTCCAACATGCTGCAAAATCTTTCCTTTTAACCAAAAACTGCAGCATAGAGAATCATTCATGCTGGTGTTAACAGCCCAAGTTTGCCTTTGTCACCATTGCATTTGCTTCTTTATTTTGCTGTATTCCGCAGGGCAACCCAATTTTTTTGCTGGACACAGGAAATTTATTTGCCTAAAAATAATCAATTAACGGGCTGATTTATAAACCACTCGCAGAACTCTTTGCTGTGCTAATAAGATTTGCAGCACTATATGGCCACTAGATGGCGCCACAGAGCCTTGGAATTCCTGTGCTCTGCAGCTCCATCTAGTAGCCATACAGCTCTGTGAATCTCATTTACACAGTGAAGATCTCTGCAAGCAGTTTATAAATCAGCCCCTTAGGAATGCCGAGACTCATCTAAAACCACAACAGAAGGACTTATGGATCTCAATAGAGCACAAGAGCGGTGATATCACTACACTTGAATTCCAGTGATAACTTCTTCCAGCCTCATGACGGGAAGTCCGTACACTGGTATAGACCTGGGGCTAGGGTATTAGTCTGCAGGAGCAAAGCATTTGCACCCATGATCAACTGATAACTGCACATTTTTTTCTTTTATTTATTGTGTGCGCATTACTTTTTTTGAACAGGCAGACTCTGCCTTAAAAAACTTTTTAAAAGTCTAGAAATAAAATATTCTATACCTAGGGTTTATTCATCTGCAATAATATAATATTTTATTTTGGCTTCAGGTGTACTTACCAAGCATAGTGGGGTAAAGATCGACTAGGGAGACAATATTTGATATGGTTGTTCCAGGTTTTATATTGGGACCCATCATCAGAAGCGGGATATGTGCGCTACCTTCATACATACTCATCTTATAAAACTGTCGGTGTTCCATAGCAAGCTCCCCATGGTCAGATGTAAACAGCACATAGGTTGTGTTGAGGAGTCCAGTATCACTAAGGGCAGACATCATTTCACCTGCAGCAAGACAAATATCAGGATTGAAATACTACTCATCATATTCTGTATTGGATAAACACAAAGCAAAAGTATTGAGCATAATTAGAACATTGCTTGTGAACTTAGCCATGCCAGGTCATTTTACTGGGTTGTTAAATGAAACACAATATAAAAATATACACAGTTTCAAGATTAAAAAGGACCATGCCAGTCAAACACAGCCCCTCACTAAAGTGGAAAATACACTTCTCAAATTCAAGCAGTGTGTGACCCTCTCGGCACCCTTCCTTGCGACAAAAGTCAAGTGTGTGGCCCTCTCGGCACCCTTCCTTGAGACAAAAGCCAAGTGTGTGGCCCTCTCGGCACCCTTCCTTGCGACAAAAGTCAGTTTTTCTAATTGACTTTTGTTGATGGAACTAGGCCAAAAATTCTCAGCCAAACAGTGACAGCAGCCAATCATACACTGCCCAGATATTCTGACAGCGGCACACCTGTGTACTATACAATCTGCACATTGGATTCACTTACTAGCTTTCACTCAATCATCCATTAATTATTTCCTTTTAAATGCCTTGATTGTTAGTATTCTTTTAAATCTGTAATTGAACACCCACACCCTGCAATCAGGATTTAGAGATTTTGGAAAGTTTCAGGGTTTGCTTTTCCTTTTTGCTGAGCTTTTACACATTCACGCTGTTATTAAAACCTCTCAATTTATGTTTAGTACTTTTGACATTTATTTAACATAATTCCAGTGAATGAACTCCCATCATGCTATGAGAAAATCTCAGGATGATCACAGGCTTTGATAATTCTCAGGTATAGTCATAGAGCTCTTATTTTTACAGCTCTCCCTTCTAAACAATCCTGTATGTGCTCTTGAAAAATCTTACATTCATAACTTAGCTTTTCATTTTCACATACTGGCTATGTGTTCCACTTGCCCAAATAATAAGAAATTATGTTGCCCTGGACAACAAAATTAAAGGTTAGCAGATCACCTGCTGAGTGTGAAGCAGAATTTTGTTTACTTGGTTATTCTGATTTTTGCTTAAACCCCTTGCGTGAATATTTAACTCCAACCATTCCTGGTATTACTGTTGACAGAATTCTAGGGCCAGTAAAATTCTTTTGTAACCTAAATGTAAAGTGCCATTAGTTAAATTTACTTACCTTAAAGTATATGTGAACCCTGCCTATCTTAAACATCTGAACAAGATATAATACAAACCCAAGGCAAACCTTTTTTATTAAAAATCAGAGGGGTGGGTGTGAAGACTCCTTGTGACGATCAAGTTCATTGGCCAAGCTCAGTTAGACACATAATCAAGAGCAGAGTGTTTTCTACCTATCCGGGTGGAAATGCAGAAGGGGGCTCACAGGCAGTGTGGATATTGTAGAAGACAAATGGGAGGTGAAATAGATTGAGGTGAGATCCTATGTGATGTGATTTTGCATATACAGATAGGAAAACTTAACCATAACACCCCCCCCCACCCCTTCCCTGCTACTTATCTCATTTATCCTGTAAAAGCCTGTAAATGTGTATTATTATTTATTGTTATTATTTATTTATTCCGTAGTAATCAAAGGGGTTACAATATACAAAGAACAGTTTTAGGCTAAATGTTCTGACTTCTTGAACTTGGCATCGAAAGTGACACTAAACTCAAGCGCTAGATTCACGTACTTTAACTATTAACAAATAAGTACCTTATTTGTGCATCACTCATCTGTAGATCCGCAAGGAGTTTGCATGTTCTCCCTGTGCTTTCATGGGTTTCCTCCAGGTAATCGGGTGTCCTCCCACATTCCAAAGGAAGGTTAATTGGCTCCTGTCTAAATTGGCCCTAGTCTGCGTGTGAGATTGTAAGATCCTTGAGGGCAGTGGCTGATGTGAATGTGCATGTAGACATGGTGCGTAAAAATTGTCAGCGCTATATAAATACCAATAATAAATAAATAAATCATCTCTGAATTGGTGCTGACGCTGTCCTTCCTTCTGGAGGGTGGCTACTTTTGTGTTGTAAAGTAGCCACCATTCCAAGCTCATTCCCATGATGGACTACAATCTCAATACAAATTAGTAAGCTTAACATGGACTACTATCTCAATACAAATGAGTAAACTAACCGTGAGATTATAGTCCATCACAGAGCGAGCTTGGAGCGGTGGCAACTTTACAGCACACACAGGAACCATGGGGAACACAAAAAAAACTAAATGTAGTTGTTAAATAATGACAGTTCAGTTACTGTAATCAGTCTCATTTGGATTCATTCAGTTGCAGCTTATTAGCCATACTGTAGAGATACTTTTGCTCCCTTTTTAAAAAAAACTATGATGGGAATTTGGACAGAAAAGGAAAGCATGGATGAACCAAAAAGACCCCTTTAAATTGATTAAAAGAGCAAAGTAAGTTTATTTCTAACCACATCCATGCATTTGTTATTTGACATTACTATACGCCTGATAAGCTAGCCTACTTGGCGTAAAGATGGGGTACTTTACCTTAACCATTAGTTCCTTTATCACCCCTTTGGGAACCCTTATCACCCCTTTAGGAAAGCCCTGGTGTTTATCCACATGTGGAGGCCTGTACATTCACAGCCATCAGCACGCCAGCCCATATGCTTGGTGTGTCAAGCTGATAAATTCGAGGTGTGCAATGCCTCCTCCTATATCTCTCTTTATTATTTAAATAACATTTAGCTCTGAATGTTTAATAACACAGGAATAGCACTGGACAGCTGAACAAATAGCGGCAATTAAAATGAATGGTAAACTCAGATATGGTTTTAATGCCACTTCTAATTATCACTTAGCAGTGCAAGCAAATTTTCCTCTACCAATTTTGAATAAATCAAGTACTATTCGTAAGCAAATTAGACAAATAATTATATATATTATAAAATATAATATATTATTTTTATTATCTCTTCTTTTACTGATTTTGAATACATCAAGTACTAATTAGTATGCAAAGTAGAAGAATAATTACAAACAAGACTCTGGCTCAGTTTACCAGCATTTTACGCCTCTGACCCATGTTATTAAAGACTCTATGTATATGCCAACTTATACTGGACAGCAAACTGTGAAAATACCATTTGTAACACTGTAAGAAATGCATTGTTTGTGATTATGTTGGTTTTTTAGTTGGCATGGAAAAACAGGTGCATAGCAACTTACCCATTATAGCATCTGTCTCTGCACACATAGCATAGTAATGAGCCCTAATATTTATAATTTCCTGGTCTGTAAAATGTCCAGTGCAGTTTTTGGTGTATGATGAGTAGAAATCCACTGGGTGCATTCTGTTTAATGGTAACCATTTTGGAAGTGTAATGTTCTTATACGACACCTACATGCAAAGGGGAAAAAAATCCAGCTTACATTTTCTTTTATTTTTCAACATGAATATTACAAGTAAATAAAAGTAGAATGTAGCAAACAGCAACAATAAATATGCTTTGCAATCATTCTTTTTCTAGTATGCACCTTTTGTGGCTTTGCTCTGTCTGTTGCACCTGCTTTTGAGACCAGCATCATACCAGCTCTTCTCACTGCTGCCATCTTTGTTGCTTGTTCTAAACCGGCCAGCTACTCATCCAAAGATCTACATAAAGACTAAATAAGGCCCCAGCCAGGTTAACAGATTTTACTTACTCCCGTCCCATACCACATCCCCTATGACACCTTCACTGTGTGTACCCTGGTTATAGCACACAATTGTTTTGTTGTAAAGTGACCCTGTAACCACCTTATGTTTAAGCTCAGTAGCTGACAACCCAATGCATTTGATGGACTGAAATGCAATCAGTGTTGTCAGCGCTGGCTGCTGGGCTACAGAACTTTGCCTACTCCCCACCACTGTACATACATACATTAATTTCTTTCTCAGACACAATGCTGCTGCCTTGACCCCAGGAACCTGCCCACGTACTATATGTTGGGAAAGGACTCTTGGTAGAGGAGTCCTAAAAGGTGTTGCTACATCAGTAGGAACTGAGCTCCCAGCAGATGCCCCTGAAAGAATTAGACATGCCTGGTGATTAAGTTATAGAGAGTAATAGCTGGTACATCTTGCTACAGGAAGAAGGTACAAAAAATGCCGACACCCACTTTAGAGGGGGAGAGGGAGGTTTGGGGGTAAATTTCGGTAATGCTTCAACATAGGTTTTAAGATATCACGTCAATATAATTTAGGATCATGCACAGATTCCCTGGCTGCTGCCAAGAGCACAGGTGATATCTGGGCCTGGGAAGAGGGAAGAAGCTGTATCAGACTGACGCAGACAGCCTCAGATTCTCCTGAAAGTTATGGAGAAGGTAAAAACTACCATTGATGTGTGCTATGCAACAGCAACATGAAATTACAAAAGAAAGGGAGCTACACTTGCAATGCAATGTGAGTACATTTAAAGGAGAACTATGGGGTTAAGGCTTTTCCCCATAGTTCTCCTTAGGGTAACGGGAGGACACAAACTAGCGTTCTCCCGTCACCCTAGGCTCAGTATACTGCTGCTGCTCGCGGTATACTGAGACGCCACAGAATACCGCTAGCCAGCTGTACCCTCCCTCCTCCGTTCCACCAGTCAGCGCTGGCGGATCGGAGTGAGGAATGCAGCCCCTCCCCCTGTCACGGCAGAAAGCCATGACAGGATCGAGAGGTGAGCAAATGCCGTTATGTGTTCGCTCGCCTCCCGATTCTACTAAGCCGACCTGTGACAGTCTCATTGTCACAGGACGGCTAGAACTATGAGGTGAGTGAAAAGCATGAAAAGCACTCACCTCATAGTTCTCCTTTAAATGATATCTTAAAGCTACAAGGATATATCAAAGGTACCCTGACAGTGGGACTTCCCCCCTGTACTGGAAGTGCTTAATGCTAGTTTTTGTCTAGGATACTCCATCCCTTGTTCCCTTGGCATGTCATCACATACAATGCAGCAACTGTGATCCTGCACTGTAAATGAGGATGTCGAGGGCCCGTCCACAACCCAGACAGTCAGAGTAAAGAAGAAAGCGGTGGTTGCTTTTTAATGGTGCCCTAATCAAAAATGAACATTAAACCCCTTGCAGTGCAGGGGGAGCCCCAACACAAGGGAAACTTTGTATTGCAAATTGTATTTCAGCATTAATCCTAATATGCATGGGGTAGATCTTCTTTTGTATTACAGTTTTTTCCTAAGGGACTGTAAACTATTTTTTTCCTCTCTGTATTACTTTTACTTTAATTTAGCTTTTTCACCTCTCTTAAATGATAACTTTCCATAAGCTCAATCCTGCCCTATACCCTAACAGATTGCAAGTGCTTAAACTATCTATATTGCTTCTGTATGCCCTAAATTGAGTGTAAGCTCTAGTTTCAGTCCTAGGCCCCATTCACACTTAAGCTTGAGTGTAGCCAGGAGATTTAGAGGCTTTTTTTGTTGCGTTTTTGCACATGATCTACGAGCATTAAAAGAATTTCTATGCTTTTAATTAGGGATGCTCCGATATATCGGCTGCCGAAACATATCGGCCGAAAATGGCACTTTTAGCAAAGTGCCATTTGTGGCCGATATAGCGGTGCATCCATGATTTCTCTCCTTCCTGCTGTGCACTGCTCTGTGTACCAGCAAAGAGGAGATAAACTGTCACAGGAGGCCGAGTGCTGCAGGATTAGAGTGCTGGCTGCGGCTGGTGTCTCCACCCTGCACCGCTCAGCCTCCTGTCACAGATCAGGAGAGCGGCAGTGTGGGCGGAGACAGCCATTGCTGTCACAGGAAGCTGAGCACTCCTCTCGCACCACCCAGCCTCCTGTGACAGCTGTCAGGATGGAGAGTGGGTACAAACACTCAGCGATCAGTGATCGCTCAGTGCTTGTAAATAATTGAGGACATAGTATGTTTACTGTGTCCTCAATTATGAATGAATGGGAAGTGATCTACATCACTTATTGTTCATTTATGAATGTGGCTATAGTAAACACACTCTGTCCGCACGTTATAAATGAACAGGAACACTCAGTATAGAGGATTCCTGCTCATTTATAACAGGGGCAGCAGAAAGAAATTGAGCACTCTGTGTCCTCAATCTCTATTTCTGTTTTAAAAGGGAAATATCAGGGGTCTGTTTAGACCCCTAATATTTTCTTGAAGCCCCTAAAAGTAAAGTAGAAAATTACAATATTTAATAAAAATGAATAAATAAAAATAAAAAATTTGAAAAAGTTAGAATAAAAAACATTTTCGGTTTCGATCTGACATTTTTTTTCATTTTGGTTTCGTTTCAGTTTTGAAATTTTCATTTCGGTGCACCTCTACAGTTTTAGTCATGCATTTTTGGTTGCATATACTTTTAAATGGGTGTGCCTAGAAATGCATTTAAACACTCGTTTTCCAGGTGCTCCTATTAAATTCTCTGCTCCTAAAGAAGCCCATGTACTTTTTCAAGCTTCACATGACTAGGTACAAGCAACATTTCACTCAGATGTTAACAGGGGCTATTGAAAACAATAGGCTTTCTCATGCTGACTGTTGCTAAAAGGAGCTACAAATGAAAGTCACTAAAAAATGCCTAGGTGTGAATGGGGCCTCAGAAGAGTAGCTCATGGATCTCCATCATGAACTGGCCTGCAGAGGTCCCGGGCTCACAGTTGAGTTCTGGGCTCCTACTGTACCCTGAGTGGAAATGATCCTGTTGGCTTTCCAACTACCACAATCACTTCTACTAATAACAATAAGCTGGAGAACAAAATATAAAACAAGTTAATGGCTGCAACTGTACCGGTGAGTATGCTTTCATGGTTTGATTTCTGAGAAGCAAGCTCTCAGACTCCCTCTGGGTTCCTAGACACCCACCTAGGTCACCTTGCGGGTAATCTGGCCCGCTCGTCCTCCAATAAGTTTTATATCAGTTCAATGTGAAATCTACATCAAAATGAGCACAAGATGTTTTACCTTCTGAAGCCAGTAAAGGGATGTTAAAAATGTTGATGAGCCCCAGTTTTCGCCCATGTTTTCTGAAGGATATGGGTGTGGCAAATTTAAACCCAAATACAGAAAAAAAGGTTGTGAAGAGTTCTTTGCTTGTTTTCTTATCCAGTTGACAGCCAGATCTGTATTCTTCCAGTCGTCCTCCATAATGCGAATCTGAGTCCGGTTTGTAGTAAGATTGGCTATAGGTCTGCCTTCCTGACTGAGCAAGAATGGGACATCTCTTGTCCAGGCTTCCACTCGGTTACTGAAAGCAGAAACTCTATAGGTGATAGGTGCCAATTGTCCCAGTGAAACATGAAGAATAGTTAAAAAAGAGATATCTGCTAAACACTGCTTTATGCTCTTCACTAATATACCTTCAACTGCTGGAGACCATCAGTCAATATTGGTATTACAATGTTTTATCAGAGGGCTGAAATTTAATGTTTGTTTTGTTCTGTAAATTTCACTTTTAAATAAGTACAAATACCTCTTCTTGGTTGTACTGCTCTGTTTTTTCGTAAATGACCATTTACATCACTCTCTAAATGTTTCTGTTTAACCATAATGCACAGTAATTGCTTGCCTACATAACTGAAATATGTTTTATTAGGTGCAACATAAGTGAGCATCATTCTTTCTGTATAATAAGGCCGGAAATTAGAAAAATGCTCCAGCACTCAATGCCATTAGAGAATTAATTAATACATAGTAAATAAGGTCGAAAAAGGGACACAGTTCATAATTTTCAACCTCTGTGTGTGTGTGTTAGATGTATGTGTTTGATCAATCCAGAGGAAGGCAAATAAAAAACACATGCATTTGCTGATACTACTTCCTGGGGAAGAGACTTGATTAAAGTGCAACTGAAGCCAAAACTTTTTTTTTTTGTTTTGGATGGAGTGGAAAGGAATTAGAAGACCTGTTAGGTTTGTATTGCTGCCTGTGTCCCCATCATCCTCTCTCTTTTACCTGGTTACCATTATCAATGAAAGTGAAAGAAAAACAATTATTTTGGGTTGTTATTAGAACAGGAATAGATGAGAAATCTTCCAATAGGGACACTAGTTCTGGTGACCCTGTTGACCACCAGGTAGTTCCCTCTCTTTGGAGGGATATCCTCTCACTTCCTGCTATGGCTATTTGACAGAAAGTGAAGGAAAATCTACCCAAAAGGATATAGATGGAAAAATTGACAAAATGCTGAAAACTACCATTTTTTTTGCAGAAAATGCAGGACATCTCTAGTTTCCCTCCTCCCCGCTGGGCGCGGCTCTGTGTCCCCTCTGATCCCCTGCCTGTGTTGGTGGGAAGCCACGAGGATGGGTGAGGACACAGAGCAGTGCCCAGCGGGGAGGTGTTAAACTTTCAGGAGGTCGAACAGGGTGGGAAGAGGGACACTGTCAACATTATCACAGGAGGCCGAGATCTCCTCCCACACCACCCCGCTCGGTCTCCTGTGTCAAGCAAATTAGGATTGAGAGGGGAGGAGACAGCTGCCAGCTGGCATAGGAGGCTGAGCAGGCAGTGCTGGGAGGAGAGCACTGTCAGCTGTGTCACAGGAGGCTGAGGCTCTCCTCCCTGTACCGCCCGCTCAGCCTCCTGTGACAGGCGAGTCAGGATGGTGAGTGGTTACAAGCACTCATTCATCAGCTAATTGCTGAGTATTTGCAAATAACTGAGGACATAGTAAGCCTACTGTGTCCCCAATTATGAATGAATAGGAAGTGGTCTACAACAATTCCTGTTCATTCATGATTGTGCACATAACAACTCATACTATATCCACAGTTTATGAATGGACAGGAGCACTCAATATAGAGGCTTCCTGTTCATTCTTAACAGGGGCTGCAGAATAAGAGATTTAGTTACATAATTACATAGTTAGTCAGGTTGAAAAAACAGGTTGAGTTCAACCTAGGGCTAGAGATTTAGAGATTTGTGTCCTCAATCTTTTTTTCTATTTCAAAAGGGTAATATCAGGGGTCTTTTTAGACCCCTGATATTTCCCCATAGCCCCCGACAGTAACGTGAAAAAAAATACAAAATAAAATATTAAAAAATTATAATTTTAAAAAGGTTAATAAAAAATAAATACTTTTATAAATGTTATAAATACACATTTTATAAATATATATAAATATTGTAAAAACATTTTTGTTGCACTTTATTGCATTTTAGTATGCATTTTCTACTTTTCCTTCAAAACTTTTTATGCTAAAAATTTGATGCTTATATTGCAATACTGTAAAAGCCCCTTTCACATGGGCTGGGCAGTATGGATCAGATGTCACTGCTGTGAAATCCGTGTCCATCCAGTTTTTTTCCTCTATCTTGTGATGGAGGAAATAACTAAAACTGCTGGACCCCATGTTAGTCTATGGGGAGTCAGATGTAAACGGACATGTGTATATTTACATCAGATTACCCCCAATCTGGCACGTTCAGGTCCGGTGAAATGGATCTCTGATCCATTTGTTTTTACAGACCTGGCCAGAGTCGGGGGTAGCTGGGTGTAAACAGACGCCCGTCTGTTTACACCTCGCTGCCCATAGAACTGAATTGGACCGCCCATGTGAAAGGGGTCTAAAGCAGTGGTTCTCAACCTGTGTAATCTCAGGACCCACATTTGTCCTCGGTCATTAAGTCGCAACCCAAGTTGCACTCTAATGAAATGCACGGCAGTGTGGGCTGCTGTGCTGTGATGGAGCTCCATCCATATGTGCATTGTTTGTATAACTCCCATGCGCGCCTGTAGAGGTGCCAGGAGCCAGAATGTGATGTTACTCCAGTCCAGGCACCTCTACAGGACATGCGAGGGAGCTATAAGCAATGCACATATGGATGGAGCTCCCTCGTGGCCATACCCCCAGCCCACCCCACCTCAAGTAGACGCTCAGCGCTGGGCAGCATATTTTGAATGACTGCTCGGTGTGAGAACGGACAATGCTGCATTAGGGGGAGGCTAGGGGAAGCCTCTCACCTAGAAAAGTGGAAGGTATGCGGCGACCCACTTTTGGGTTATGGCCCACCAGTTGAGAACCAAGGGTCTAAAGCATTCCTTTTTGAATTTTTAGGGTACAGTTTTGACATATTTCTGTATGTACCAGTCTGTATGTACCAGTCTGTTCTAAGTTCAATCTGAATATAAGCAGGTAGCAATGACTACAATTTTCTCCATATTATCACAGCTTATATCTGTCCTTTGCAAAATTCTATGTTCTGTTTGTGATGCTGAGTCTTGTACAGTCACCTTTGTGGACCCGTTCACATCAGTGGAGTTGGAGCTGCGCTGGAAGCCTTGTCCAGCATGTGCCATTGTAAAGAAAAGCCAATTAGCCTTGTTTTCAGTTCACTCAGTTCACACCATTTCACTGCATATAGTACTTTCTTTCAGGGCAGTGTGGTGTGCAGCCGACAACCATGTCACACTGCACTCTGGCTCACAGAACTCAATTACATTTCCATCCAAGTGCAAACCAGCGGCTGTGCATTCAGCTCTAAAGTACACCTGTGCCCAGACTATGGACATGTTTTACATCACTGACCTCTCTAGCTGTAGTCACTGTGAAAAAATTCATCACAAAGATCACAACAAAGACTCTAAAGTTGGATTTAGTCAATTTCTTGCATCTTAAGGCCCCATTCACACTGAGCGACATGGATATTGCGCGTTTTTCAGCGTGATTTTGTGCTGAACGGCTTTGAGCTACATTGCGCGATACTGAGCGACAGTGCACATCTTACATAGCGCGTTTTTTGGGCGGGACTTCGTCGCTGCTACATTTGGCTGTAACCAATCAACAGCAATCTTGATGTGACATCATTCTTTCCATCAATTTTGCAGTGCAAAAGTGACCCTTCTGTTGCGCGATATCGCGTGACCAAGTCGCGCAATATCGCCGATAATGCATGATTTTGTTCAACACCATTGAGTCAATTGGGGCCGAATCGCGCAACATCCGCCGAAAAAAGGGTCCTGTACAAGCGATGAGCTACAGGCGACATTGAGCAATTTTTGGATGGGCTTCCCCAGGAGCCGGCACCAGAGCTCAGCCGATCTGCTGCACAACCTTCCCATCCTTTGTTTCCCTGGCAGGCTCAGACGATCCTCATGCAGACTTATAAATCCACAGTCCTTCGGGTCCTGTAACTCCGGTCTGCCTCCTGCATACCAGTCCGGACACCTCTCCTTCCCTACTCCTCAGCTAGCCTGGATTCAACTATACTCCACATCAGGACGCTCAGAAAAAATTACATGACACACTGCACGCAAAGGCAGCGCGCCACCGCTCCGCGCTGCTTTGCGTGCAGTGTGCCACAGCATTTTTTATTAAATATTTTTTACTTTACTTTTAGGGGCTTCGGGGAAATATTATGGGTCTAAACAGACCCCTGATATTTCTCTTTTAAAATAGAAAAAGAGATTGAGAACACAGAGTCCTCAATCTCTTTTCTGTATCCCCTGTTATCAATGGACAGGAATCCTCTATGAGTGTTCCTTTTCATTGATAACTTGAGAATATGTTTACTATAACCACAGTTATGAATGAACAGGAGTGGATATAGATCACTCCCATTCATTCATAATTGAGGATATATTAACCATACCATATCCTCAATTACCTACAAACACTCAGCAATCACTGATCACTGAGTGTTTGTAGCCTGCCCTCCTCTCTGACACACACTGTCACAGCCCAGCCTCCTGTGACAGCGCAGTGATAGGCCGCCAAGCGGTGTGGGAGGAGAGACACCGGCCGCACACAGAGCTCTTGTCCCGCAGAGCTTGGATGGCTGTCACTTTCTCTCCTCCCCGCTGGGACACAAAGCAGCGCCCAGCGGGGAGGAAAGAAATCACGGATGAGCCGATGTATCGGCAGGAAAATTGCACTTTTGGCATTTAGCCAAAAGTGCCATTTTCAGCTGATATGTTTCGGCGGCCGATATATCGGTGCATCCCTAATAATAATAACTAGGGGCAAATTAATATGTCTCCTTTTACTTGCCGGCACTCTTGACACATGTGAATAGGACATGTGACCATGCACATCACCTCAGCAGAAAAAAATTACATTCCCTGAGATATTGAGAGATTTTGCAGTTAACATATGAGATTTCCCAGCAATCCACTTTGATGTAATCTTCCCAGGATGCATCTCTTAGGCACAGGCTACATCACTAATGCCTAAGAGGACCAGAAAGTGGAAACCGTAACAGTATTTGTAAGTAAAAGATGCAACGCAGCAGTTGAAAATCAAACCAATAGGAAAAAATTGCAGAAAATTCAAAAATGGCTTGGCCAGCTGATTTGAAAAATGTTGCGGAGGGCTTGGCAGCGAAAGGGTTAATGTGCAAAGTCTGGGCACAGGTTCACTTTAAAGAGGACTTATGTCAAATCTATATCTTTCCTTTACATGAAGCCTATAATTCTATCAAATATGTTAAAAGCTGTTTCTAAAGGAAATGTTTCTCTCATGGTTTTTTTTTTTTTTTCCAGAATAGACCTTTTACTAGCTACCTGCAATGGAAATCAAAGCAAGCTTCCAAGGCACGGTTAGCTATGAACTGTATTACCCTCGGCTCTCTTTGTTATTTTGACAAAAAGTTCTGTTCTGGAACTATTTGGTACCACACTTTAATGATTTTTTTCCCTTGAAAGCAACCAACTTGTGAAGCTGCTGCAAAATCTTCTTTTAAAAAAGAAAACCAGACCGAGCTACCGTATCTCCCGAGCAACTGAAAACTTTGATGTTGCTGTTTCAAAACACAGAGTGGTACCTAATGTCAAAAGTGGTAGGATCATTGGGTGCCTTAGATGTTCTTTAGGGTTTCATGATACTGTTGTCCTTTACACGGCCCTCTCTGTGTTATTTTAGTCCCCGTCTCCAATATACACTTTCACCAATATCATTTTGGGTCTGGTACTCCTCATTCATACCGCATGTGATGTTCATTGGTTAATTTGTACTGTACTGTCGTTGTACGTACGTTATTTTACCTGCTGTACAATTGTTCTGAATACCGTATGACATGTTTGTACTCAATACTTTTCAATAAAAATGATATGCAAAAAAAAAAAGGAAGCCATAATGATTAAATCTCTCTCCTGGAGTGACCCCACTCGACCTTTCCTTATCTCTGGCCCCTTAAACTTCAAGCTTTCATTTAAGTCTCTACTTTTCTCTTTACACATTATCTTTCTATTTCAGATTCGTTCCCCTTCCCCTCTTGTTACCCTACTTTTCCTTTATCATCCCCTGGTTCTTAACCCTTTTATTTCTCTCCCGTTTTTGTCTTAGAGTTAGCTTCTGAAAATGTTTGTTTCTGGTTCTTTGGGGATATCCTACACGAAAGCCGGGCTTTTTTTTCCTTGTTAATAGGATCATTTCCTCTATGACCACTTCTGTATGTTGGTCTGGATAAATGGCTGGTTCCTAATACATGGGCCCAGGCGGAGTTGTGTGGGGTAGGGTAACTCACTTTTCAATTAATAAATGGAGGTGGCACTCTGTGTGTTTATGTTTTTTGTTTGCATGATTGACGCGAATCCCTGACCGTATGAGGAGCAGCCCCCCTAAACATTTTACCAGTGTAATATGGCTGAAGGACCACAGAGGCTCTACTAGCGCTGAGGTCAAGGGAGCATATCTAGTAATGACAATCAGTAAGAGATGTGACACAAGGAAGTGCATATTGACAGGTCTGAGTGAAATTGTGTCAGTGTATTGAGGAAGTACATCCTATGGGCATCTTCAATAAGTAAGTTTACAAACTTCTAGATGGACAGGGTTATTATGCGTGGGATAGAACGTATGGAAATTCATGTTTATATTTAGTTTTTGACCACAGATGCCCTTTAACATGTTGACACCTACACCTACACCTACCTAAAACATCTGCTGTGGATGAACTAATGTGGGGAAAATTCTTTAACTCACCTCAGTGAATGGGACCCACTCGTATAGTCTTGTTTTCCAAACTTTTGAGTAATATGCCCCTTTGCTTTTATTAGGTCCATCCAGGTTGGGTAACCTGGGTCAAGGCATTTGAAGTTATTCCAGGATTGTGTCAAGTGAGGAAACAGGCCACTCCACATAGCTAAGAGGAAGAATAATAATAATAATCATTCTGTAAGTAAATCACTAAGTAAAATCTATTCATATAATGACCGCTGTGAAATATTAGAACAGCCCATGATTCAAAATAAACTGGACCATGCAGCCAAAGTTATTCTTGTATAGCATAGAGCAGGTGTAGGCAACCTTGGCACTCCAGCTGAACTAAAACTAAAAAGCTCATCATGCCTTTGCCTCTGGGAGTCCTACCTGTAGCTGTCAGTCTGGTTATGCCTCCTGGGATTTGTAGTTCCACAACAGCTTGAGTGCCGAGGTTTCCTCTCCCTGGCATAGAGATTACCATATAATTAGTAGCATATGTGTATTGCATTGAGTTGTTTCCCACTTATCAGTGCTCATCAGTATTAGTATGATACTGAGTATCAAGCTAAGATATAGTGTTGTGATTGTACAGCAAGAGGTCAGCTTGAAGGTTGCAAAATCTCACCTTTTTAAATACATCCTAACTGCTGCCTTCTTAAAGTGCACCTATTCCCAGACTATGAACATTAAAGTGTATGGTTAGTGAATTATTTTTTTCTGGTTTTGGATAGTGTGGGGAAGAATTAGAACCCCGGTCCAATGTCTACTTCAATCCAGGCCTCCCTAGGAGAGACTCACCCTCACTTCCTGGCCTTCTGACAACATTTAACTAGGCAAGAAGTAAGGGGAATGCTACAACAGGAACACAGACAGAATAAATGGGCTTTTGTCAGCATTGTCCACCTCCACCTCCTCTGCTGCTGCATCAGCTCTGCTCCTCCGGTGCTCTTCCCTGCTGGGAGCCTGCTGCCTGCTGCAGTCTTTGTCCCCTTCAATCCCCGCTGCTCTCCCTGCCTGTAACAACAGACGCAACCAGGATCGGAGGGGACACAGACCGCTGCATCCGGCGCCCAGTCGGGAGGCGAGACCAAGTGTCAGCCACTGTGACTGCATTCCTTGCATGCTCCCTCTGTTACAGCAGCAGTTAAGCTAAGCTTCTGCTGGGGGTAGAGGGGAGAGCACCCAGGGCAAAGCACTGGTGTGCTTTAAAGTGCAACTAAAGCCAAAACTTTTTAAAGTTTTTGAATAGAGTGGAGAGGCAGTAAAAGGCCTGTCAGGTTTTTATTGAAGTCTGTGTTAAGGTGCCCATACACTGCTCGATTCTCGTACGAGAATCGCGGGAAATCCCGCGATCGTACGAGAATCGAGCAGTGTGAACGGAGACGTGCGACCGTTTCTACTGTACGGTCGCACGTCTTCCGTCGAAGCAGCATGTTCGAAAACCAGCCGGGAATCGTATGATTCTCGGCTGGTTAGAACGGTGCTCGGAAGACAAATGCTGAACGGGCCAGTGTGCGCACGCGCACACTGCCCGTTCAGCATTGCGGTCATCGGAAGCCCGCCCCTCAGGGGGGCGGGCTTGCGATGATCGAGAGTGCGATCTGCCTGTCCAAGATAGGCAGATCGTACGTTTTTTTAATCCCTTTACAACCATCGCAAGACTAAGGTCTTGCGATGGTTGTAGAGTGTATGGCCACCTTTAGGGAAATTCAACCTCTCTATTTTTTCTGGTGACCATTAACACTGAAAGTGAAAAAATATGCAACATTTTGGGTTGTCATTAGAACAGGAATAGATTGGAAATCTTCCAATGTGGACATTAGTTCTGCTGACCCTCCTGACCAACAGGGGTAATGGAGGGTTAAAAAAATTACACAGAGGTGATATCCCTCCCTTACTTCATCCAAAACTAACAAAATGTGGCTTCAGTTCTACTTTAAAGTACAGTTTAAATATTATTATAACTAGAAGTTCAGATACATATTCAAAAATCATTTTTACACAGAACTACCATAAAATCTAAATCTTTTCAGAGGCCAGTCTCATGTAATTCCCTGCACAACAGCACTCGGACTAAATAAACATGACAGACAATAACATTGAAATTAAAACAGAACTTCAGCCAAAACCTTTTTTTTGATACAGTGACCCCACTGAGCTTTTATAAATTAAACCAAGGGCAGTAAATCCATATTTGAACAACCCATATCTGTTAAAAAATGCTTAGTGGTAGAAACTGCAGTAAAGTTTGCTACATTTTTTATTTTCTATGTCTGTTGTGTGGTTTTTTGCCTTGTTGTCTTGGTATGTATAATATACATGCCAAGGGCCTATGGCAGTTGTGGTAGGTCACTTTTAGGGCTTGTTACCACAAAATCCAGATCTGCATGAGTTTCTGCATATGCAGTGCTGTGCCTTTTGCCGCATTTTGACACGTTCCGGTCCCATTTTTTGTTTTTAGCCTAAAATGGGCTTTCAGTGCGTTCCAGGATGCATTCATTTTTGATACGTTTGTATGTGTTTTGGTGGGTTCTGTGGTGTGAACTAGAGCCCAAAATACCATTGGAATACATTGGATGCATTTTTGATGCGTTCTGTAAATGCTCTGCTCTGCATCTGCTCCGTACTTGATGTGAACAGCCCTAAAGGACTCAAAACTCGGGGTGCATACAGTATGAAAATTGCACCATTGCTTCAAAGTGGGGCTCAGGCAGTCCCACCGGCATCCCATTGTGCAGTATGGGCTCTTCAATTAACTGTTTACACGTGGCCACATGGCATTATCAGATGCAGGTGGGGAAATGTGTCTAAGCTCAAACTTGGAACACAGTAAAGGTGCCCATACACTGCACGATTATCGTACGATAATCGTATGCGATCGTTTTTTCGTACGATAATCGAGCAGTGTGAACGGAGACGTGCGACCGTTTCTACTGTACGGTCGCACGTCTTCTGTCGAACCAGCATGTTCGAAAACCAGCCGGGAATCGTACGATTCTCGGCTAGTTAGAACGGTGCTCGGAAGATAAATGCTGAACGGGCCGGTGTGCGCACGCGCACACTGCCCGTTCAGCATTGCGGTCATCGGAAGCCCGCCCCTCAGGGGGGCGGGCTTGCGATGATCGAGAGTGCGATCTGCCTGTCCAAGATAGGCAGATCGTACGTTTTTTTAATCCCTTTACAACCATCGCAAGACTAAAGTCTTGCGATGGTTGTAGAGTGTATGGCCACCTTTACAGTCTAAAAACTTTAAACTGCTGGACTTCTTTACTGGGCAGTAAATCCCTATTTGAACAACCCATATTTGTTAAAAAAAAAAAGATGTTTGCTGTTTCCTCTTTCAGTAAAATCTCTTCCAAATTAATTCATCAGTTTTACATATTTTATATTTTACCTGATCGAGATGGGCAGCAAATTGGAGCATTTGTATACGCGTTAAGAAACATAGCTCCATGATGTTTCATGAAGTTTAGATTTGGAAGAGACACCAGATGACTACCCAAAGTATTTGTTAGTCGCCCATCCTGCAATAAAACATAACGATTTATTATTTTACAACATTGACTTTCAGCAACAATATGTCATAGTTACAAGATTATTTAGTGGCCGACAAACCTCTTTTATATCTAGGAAAAAAAATTACAATAGTACTTAAAGATCTCTAGAATACTATTCTATCTACGCATATTAGGCCATAGATGGAATACATTTTCATTTGGACCAGCAAAGACACAATATTTGTAAAAGATTGTAAAATTATAACAATCTTCTAAAAATGAATAAGCCCACTAAAACAAATCTGAAAAGTGTTCCAGAATGTCATTCCTTCTGATTGTACTAGTTATGTAACCAATTTTGCAATGATGTCACAAGGACGCCATAGCCTCTCACTCTCTGCAAGCCTTCTCATTGATAATATCTGTCATTAAAGGAGAACTATGAGATGAGTGATTTCCACTCACCTCATAGTTCTAGCCGACCTGTGACAATGAGACTGTCACAGGTCGGCTCAGTAGATCGGGAGGTGAGCGAACACATACCGGGTTCGCTCACCTCTCGATCCTGTCACGGCTCTCTGCCGTGACAGGGGGAGGCCTGGATTCCCCTCTCCGCGCTCTGATCTGCCAGCGCTGACTGGTGGAACGGACGGGGGAGGGGGCGGGTACAGCCTCTAGATAGGCAGAGCCAGCTGTCACTCACGCAGCTGGGCGGATCCCGTCACATACGTCTGGATTCGCTCCGGCTGCGGCGTCTCAGTATACCGCGAGCTGTAGCTCGCGGTATACTGAGCTTAGGGTAATGGGAGGACGCTAGTTTGTGTCCTCCCGTTACCCTAAGGAGAACTATGGGGAAAAACACTGACCCCATAGTTCTCCTTTAACAATTATCTGACAATAATACATTTTCAATCCATCCCCGTATTACCCCAGGTACCACATAAACACCTTGTTCCCTACTATGCATAAACATGAGGCTGCCAGAGCCATGGCTGAGACACAGACCTTGTGTAATCTACTACTGTCTTTAACAGATAATTACAATGGTTTTATATGGTACAATGGTACAATAAGGTTATATTTAAACAATAATTTTTTGGGCATGCTCTTTTAACACAAGACAGTCAGACCATGTAACTTGGACTCTCTACGTGTTCATTAAAGAATAACTATTCGGAGGCTGCCATTACAAACCTATACTGCCTGGCTCTTAATGGCTTCAATGCTTTCTGAATCACTAACATGTAAAGCGTCAGAATACTTGATCTGCCTACTTGTTCCAAGTCAGTAATTCAGAGAGCACTGAAGTATGTGTATTAACACAACAGCCAGACAACTACATTGTATTTTCAAAAGAAGACATCATAAATTATAGCCTCTGCTTTTAGAAATACTGTCTACAGGTACTCATGATGAGCAGTAAGAAATGCCCAGTGTGGGTGATGACCTCATATTATTGGGCTTTCACAGACAAAAGTTCTTGGGGAAAACACTGAGCCCCACTATCCATGCATGCAGCAAGCCAGCCATGCACGAATCTAAAGATGGATGAACGGTTTTGACATGTCTCACTGTTTTCTGATGTCTATGTTCAGCTTAATGGTGACAGCCTACAGCTGTCACCACTTGTGTCTTCAAGAGGCACCACTAACAATTACCACACAACAATTAATTAACTAACAAGACCTAATTAAAAAAGCTACATAAAACAATGTTATACTATACATTTAGCAAGAAATAGTTATGGACTTTTTCACTAAAATGTAATGAACAACGTATATTAATTATAAAAAGTAACAGATAATAATAATAAATACAGTATATTGCCCATTATTTAAAACTCAAGCAATACCAGCAACTCCATTTGCAAAAATATATTTAATTAACCTCCCTCTATAAAGGAGTATAGAAGTACCATGATAAAGAGAGGAAGGGGAGGACACTGTAGTGTTAATCAGTCCACTTCAGAGGAATGGGTAGGCCATCTTTTTGGTTTCTTTTTTGACAAGAATTCACTATGATCCTTAATTGCACTGTAAGCTTTTGGTTGGAACACCCGCTGCTACTTTCATCCACATACCGTCTGTGTGATACACACCTTATTTTCACTGACAACATGATAGTATCAATTCTCATGGTATTATCAGCTCTGATGGTGATGTCATTATGTCCTTCTGCCTAAACGTGCATTAAAAGGTGACTACAGGCGACATTATAGCGCTAATTCTTATTATGACTTATCAAAAGTGTTGTTATTATGCTGACAATCCCCTCAAACCCAGCAGTTTACAGTTTTTAGATTTTTATTGTGCTCCAAGTTGGAGTTTAGACACACTTCCCCACCTGCATTCCATAATGCCATGAGGCCACATCTAAACAGTTGAAGAGGCCATAGTGCACAATGGGATGCCGTGGGGGCTGCCTGACCCCCACTTAGCAGCAATGGTGCAAATTGCATACTGTATGCACTCTGACTTTTATATCTTTTACAGTGACCTACCACAACTGCCATAGGCCTTGGTATGTATATTATACCAGGTTCTGTTGAGGCAACAAGGCAAAAAGCCACACAACAGACATAGGGGATAACAATATAGCAAACTTTCACAGAAACAATTGCTGCACAAATGACTGGAATCACACGCTGGATAATGTTTATTCCCAAAGTCAAAACATGCTGTAAACACACACAGGCTCCTCCAACTCCAACATGTTTCACCAAATGCATGTAAATAAACAATCACCCTCTATCCATCCATCCTTCTTTAGTCCTCACAAATTGTAAAAGCCAATAGCAGGCTGGCTATTGCACCTGAGCAGAGGAGCGGAACTGAGAGACAACTTTCTCTCTCAGGACCACTCCTCTGCTCAGTGGGTGGGGTTTTAATAGTCAGTCTGCTATGGGCTATTTCAATGTAAAATAGCCAAAAGCAGTCTGGCTAAATCGCTCATGACGATTTCACCTCACCTCTTACGCTCATTAAAACTCTAAAATATAGCATTTCTCCTAGTTTCTGGAAAAGTTACATTGGCCTCTCCAGCAGGGAACACTGACCTCAGTATGAACTTGGCAGAGAGTCTAACCCTTCCTTACTTTACCAAAAACACACTTTAAACACTCTTTTACTTTTATCACTATGTTACAGTGCCTGGCATCCACCTAGTACAGCTAGTTAACCCAAGATTTCTTAACAATAGGCCACTTCAAGCACGCAGTCCTTAACACAACTTTTCTCCTCCATGTTAGCTCAGACCATCTAGGCAGCTTGGCAGAATGTGCTCCCCTGGCATACACTGTAAAAGAGAACTATGGGGTAACTTTTTATCCCATAGTCCTCTTTAGGGTCACAGGAGGATATATACTAACCCAAAACTCTTGACCCAAAACTCAGTATAGAGCGGGCTATTGCCTGCTCTATGCTGAGAACGCCTCAGTGTCAATATCCACCCCACTGGCTGATTGACAGCAGGATCTGCCTATCTAGAGGCAAAGCCAGCTATGCCTGCCCCCTCCACGTCCGTCCCTCCTGTCAACGCTGGAGAAACGGACAGGGGAGGGGGGAATCTCTGGAGGGAGATGATTGTTAAGTGAGTGGATCGTCGGTATGTTTTCACTCACTTCCCAATCAATAGAGCCGACATGTGACAGTTTCAATGTCACACATCGGGTCTAACTATAGGAATGTGTGCAATTCACTCACCCCATAGTTCTTCTTTAAGTCTATTCAGATATCTTAGGCTCCTGAAAACCTAACACAGCCACAGGCACTACCATCTGTTTGTACAATGTCCTTTAGATTTATTAGCAACCAGGGCCAGATTTACTTTTAGACACAGTTATCAGGCACCTTTAGGTGGAAAAGACAAAGAGGCAGCTTTTCCCTGTGTTATTATGGGCACACATTCTTACCTACCATCAGTAGGAACAGTCATCTTATATAAGCTTATTTACACATTATTACAAAATTCGAAGTTTTGTTAGGACCATGAAAATTGGGAAATCATTTGTATAAAATAAATAATCCTTTCAAAGGGGTGTTACTTAAAGTGCCAAAAGTTGTGTGCCTGAGGGCTTGTTCACACCAATTACAGCGCGTTCCAACACGGTTAGCTGCTGAAACGCACTGTATCGCATACTAAACTCTCCCCTGCATTCTGGGGCAGAAGGGGGCTGTCACAATATCTGGAAATCCGTGCCGGATTTTCGCTTTGCTCCCTGGTTCTGGGCTGTCAGCCTATGGTGTCTCTCAAGGCTGCAGCCAATCTGCTTTCCTCCTCCCCTATTTAGGACTTCCTCACTTGTTGCTCTTCGTGCGAGCAACAAGTCTTATGCCTAGTTCCCTACCCCTTGCGGCTCTAACTATCCCTGGGATCTTATTCCCTGCGCTTGCTATTGGATCCTTGTGCCTTTGGCTTCCCTGTACCAGCTGGTATCCCTGTTTGGCGTTATCCCCTGCTTTGCTCCTTGCGCCCCTACTATAGTATTTCAGTGGTTACCTTTTTTAGGGCCTGTTCACACGACGTCCGTTTTCTGTGCTGACCTGATCCGTACGCTCCTGCACTAAAAATGCATCCCAATGTATCCCTATGTGTTTTATGGGCTACTGTTCTCACGCGCGCAGTCCGTTCAGGTTACGACAGAAAAATACTGCATGTCACATTTTGTACAGTCAGGAAACGGTCCGGAAATGCAAAACGTGTCAAAAACGCATCAATAAGCCACTGCACTGCAGCTAACATACTGACAGCCCCACTCCAGCAAAAAAAAAAAAAAAAATTTTTTTTTACTGGAACGCATCAAAAAAGCAGCAAAAACACATAGCACCGCATCTGCAGATCCGCACCTGATCCGGACCTGATCAGGACCTGAAACTCATGTGAACGCACATCTCCTGCTTACTTTTGTATGTTATACCTTCCTGCTCCTAGGTGTGCCTCTAAACTACTTACCCTTCCCAAGTGTCCTTGTTTAGCTACCCTCTTCAGTATACTCTGCTGTTCTGCTGTGCGTTTTGCACCTTTTGCTTGTGACTTTCTCTTTCTCTCATTGTGTGCCACTGTTGCTATCTTCCTCCTCTTGGTTACAAGTTTCTTCCCTACCTGTTGTTTGTTATTAATTAATTTAATTAATTTAATTAATTTTTGCGGTAGGCCCTTGCACTAGATAGTAGTTGGTAAATCTTAAAGATATATTATGCAGATTGTACAATCAGATGAAACGTATGACCAGTGTTACACTATATTGCCAAAAGTATTGGGACGCCCCTGCAAACCTTTGCATTCAGGTGTTCCAATCACCTCCATGGCCACAGGTGTATACAATCAAGCACCTAGGCGTGCAGACGCTTCTACAAACATTTGTGAAAGAATGGGTCGCTCTCAGGAGCTCAGTGAATTCACATGTGGTACCGTGATAGGTTGCCACCTGTGCAATAAGTCCATCCATGATATTTCCTTGCTACTAAATATTCCAAGACATTTTGGACAATTTCATGCTCCCAACTTTGTGGGAACAGTTTGGGGATGGCCCCTTCCTGTTCCAACATGACTGCGCACCAGTGCACCAAGCAAGGTCCATAAAGACATGGATGGGGGAGTTTGGGGTGGAGGAACTTGGCTGGCCTGCACAGAGTACTGACCTCAACCCGATAGAACACCTTTGGGATGAATTAGAGTGGAGACTGTGAGCCAGGCCTTCTCGTCCAACATCAGTACCTGACCCCACAAATGTGCTTCTGGAAGAATGGTCAAACATTCCCATAGACACACTCCTAAGCCTTGTGGACAGCCTCCCCAGAAGAGTTGAAGCTGTTATAGCTGCAAAGGGTGGGCCAACTGAATTATGAACCCTACGGACTAAGACTGGGATGCCATTAAAGTTCATGTACGTGTAAAGGCAGGCGTCCCAATACTTTTGGCAATATTGTGTATATTACCTTATGCAATCTATAAACAGTCCTTTCATATGACATTACTACAGTAGTAATTTAGTGTTGCCATCCCTTTAAGAAACAAAAAGAGTAGATGTGATATTTCATAACACTTACACAGAAATAAATACTTACAAAAGAATCACTCATTACCATAACCACATTATACCCATCACTGCTCTGGATGGGGGGCAGCAGATTCAAGTGCCCTGCTGGCAGAGCGCAGAGGAAGACAACCAGAGGAACACATCTTAAGACCATCAGAGCCATCTCTGGTCACAGGCCAATTCCTGCAGAAGGGAAGGCTGGGTTTCTGGAAATAAATAGCAGAAAGTTTTCACCAGCTCTGACGGATGTTTATGCTGCACTATACATGTAATTAAGAGCGTTGCGTGTTTTTTCAAGTTCCCACTTCCTGGCCAAAGAGATGATGTATCAGTTTTTCTGAACCGTGACTTCACTCACAGCTCTACAGAAGTATACCTACCAGATTATTTCTGCCAGGTTTCTTTAACGACGAATGAGGAGCTAACTTTGTTTTGTTTTTTATATTTTAGCACATTTTGAGGTTACATACACATTTATTTAGCTGCGGATTCAATGAAATTATTGTAGGCACACTGAAAGATACATCTGTTCTGTTACAATGAAACTGCATGATGCACGCAATGCCACATACAGGGTATGCTAAAAATAGACATGGAAGAGTCCGTGGTGCTTTTCCAACAGAATTTCACAATCTCAGCGCAGAGAGTACAGATGTGTCTTTCAGCTTTGTTGTGTTTAATGTGTTGTTTGTGTGAGAGAGTTCTACCGTATTTTTCCGTCTATAAGACGCCCCCATGTATAGGACGCCCCCCACTTTTCTTACCCAAAAATCAGAAATCAATATTTTCCATGCTCTTTTGCATAACTGATTACATCCAGTTTAAATTTTGCAGAGTAAGACAGCCACTTACTGGTACCGGTATTTTTTTTTGTTTTCTGACATTTTTACGGGCTCCCTGTTGCATCTGGGCACTGGCTACACGCTCTCCGCAGCATCAGCTGATGTCAGGTACATAAGGCTCATGATTGGAGGAAACCTGTTAGCATGTCTCTGCAATTGAAAGTTTCACTCCTGCGGCTAGTTTGCAGAGGTATCGGCAGTTTCGCAACCGCGGTTCTCCTCTCGGCCCCCCGTGTATAAGACGCCCCTCCATTTTTAGGTAAATATTTTTAAGAAAAAGTATAGTCTTATACATGAAAAAATACAGTATATTGAAAGCTCAACTCTGGGAATAGCGATGGTCTGGGGCTTGGTGCGAACCCCGAGTTCGCCCAACTCCGCGTAAAACTGTAATCGACACCCCCCTTCCCAGCCCAATCAGCGGCAGAACTTGCGGCAGGAGCATTCCTCACCTCTTTGTGACATACAGTAGCTGCGGGGCAGAGAATGCACTTGCCACAATAGACTGAGCTAGAAGGGGGGATGTCTTGGTCACAGTTTTCAGCAAGCTTAGGTGAACTAACCTTATTCCCTTAGTAAGATCCTCTCATATTAAAGATATAGTTTGGTCAGACCACTCTATGGTCACAATGCACATAACTCACTTACAAGGCTTCAACAAATCGTTCCAATGGAGACTAAATGAATCATTATTAAGCTCAGCGCCACTATGTAATGAGATCAAAGCACACTTAAATAACTACTTTTCGATGAATGCTGGTCCGAATGTGTCTCCAGTCATAGTGTGGGCAGCCCATAAAGCGACCATTCGGGGCATACTTATCGAACAGGCCACCAGAACCAAGAAACATACCACAGAACATATAACAAAACTAGAGAGCAAGCTAAAAACACTTACTGAATTACATAAACAAACTCTCTCGCTCTGCTCCGAAAGATAGAGCGGGTCAGAACGGAACTTAATCTGCTCATGACCACCAGAGCAGAAAAAAGTAGTCGTTGGTCGGCGACCAAGCTGTACACACACAGAGACCACATGGGCTCCCTCTTGGCCTCTAAATTAACACCAAAACCACGGAATCTTCAAATCCCCAAAACTTCGGTGGTCCACATACAATATATCTTGGTTAGGGCGAATTCATTCAATTAAAATGACTTTATTTCCTAAAATACTGTATCTATTTAGGACACTACCAATCCCGATTCAACAGACGGAACTTATTAATTTTCAGAAGTCCATCTCCAAATTTATCTGGGGGGAAAAAAAACAAGAACCTCTCGAAATATCCTCTCCAAACCTAGAAACCAGGGAGGTTTAGGGGTACCAAACTTGCTCTTATACTATAGGGCTGCACAAATCTCACAATTATCATCTATCTACTTCAAGTCACTTGCTCCTGACTGGGTCAAGCTGGAAGTTAGTTCACATAAAGGCCCCTCTATTGAGGCCCTTGCATGGATGAAACCTAAGCAGAGACCAAGGACTCTGGCAGCAATCTTACTACATTCTCTTGCCTTATGGGATCAGATACGAAAGAAGGAGGGGATGGTCTCTACACACACCCCCCTCGCGCCCTTATTTTAAAATGTCAATTTTATCCCAGGACTACAGCTAAAAACATTTAAATGGTGGACAGACAAAGGACTGTATAGGATTGGGGACTTTATTAAACTTCATAAACCAATTACATACCACTACTGTTTAAACACCCTCAAAATGCCTCACTCTGAATATTTCAGATTTAGACAAATTAATCACTTTTTATCCACCGTACACATCCCCGAGACTGGAGCCCCGCTGTTAACACAATATGAACGGTGGTGCCTAGGTGGGTTAGGTCAAAGCTGAGGTACATCCCTGATCTACGATGCCCAACTAGGACCATTCACTAAAACGGCCTATATGGTGGCCTGGGAACTAGAAATTGGGACACCACTCTCCCCAGAAGAATGGCAACAGTGTTCTAAAAGAACAACTAAGGGACTCTTAAATGTTTCTCTTTCAGAAGCCAACTACAAGGTTTTTTCTCGATGGTATCTTGCGCCAGCAAAGTTAGCAAAGATGGGCCCAGGCGTCAGTTCGTTATGCTTTAGGGGCTGTAAACAGCAAGGCACTATGCTACATGTCTGGTGGCAGTGCCCAGGACTACGACCTTTTTGGAACAAGTTGTTTGCCCTGCTTTCTAGGATTCTCGGGACTCCTATCCCCAGAGACCCACAGTATACTCTACTTAATAAATCAATCCCGGACATCTCTTGAACGCAGAGCAAACTGGTTTCCTTTTTTTTTTCTGGCGGCTAAGATATCAATAGCTCGGTCCTGGAAAGCCGAACAGGTCCCATTCTCTCTGGTGTTGTCTAAAGTGAACTGGATCATGATCCATGAGAAATTAAATAGCATCTTGCAGAATAAATACGCAGAATTCGAGGCAATATGGGCGCCGTGGTTGAAATACCAAGAGATCTCAAATGCTTATACCACTATCTCTGATTCTTTGGCAGAGCATATTTATCCCGCTCCTTGGAAACTATAATCTCTTAGGTTATGCTTTTATCTTCTTTAGATAATAAGACTCCTTCACCTTTTTTTTTTTTATAAATTCCCCCCCCTTAGTGTGTGCTTTTCTTTTTTTGTATACCAAAAAGTTTTCCATAAGCTCTCATTTAGCGAAAGTGGCTTTACCTTCTTTGAGAAACCCCGCACCCCCAAAGCTGGAAGTGACCGAATGGAAGGCCGTGCCCCTAGAGGAGAAGGGGGGCAGGAACAAAGCAGAAGGTTAATAACGCTTCTGGTCTTCCCCATTCTTTTCTTTCGGCGATAGCTTCGTTAGCTTAAGTAAGGGCTGGGTGATGCGGGGAACTAATGCTAAAGTTAATGTTGATTTGAGAAATATTGAATTTGCTGATTTGGATACATATGTTAAAAGCCGGATTTTAAAGATCTTATGGAAACCAATAAAAACTTTGAAAACAAGCTTAGGTGAACTCAGGTGAGGTGGATTCACACAAAGCCCCAGCTTATCACTATCCAGAAATTCTTTTTTTTTAAACATATTGTGGCATTGTGAGGCAATACCACGGTGTTAGGTGGCCTCAAAGTCACCCAGGGTTCTCAGCCAGAGGGGCTGAGTGGCTCCAGGAAGACATTACTGGTACCAGGAGAGAACTGCCTTTTCAGTTCTTTCTGGGTTTTCTGGATCAAGGTTGGGATCCTGGAGCCAGGAGATTTCTTAGAGCTCTGGGTGGGAAGAAATCTCCATTCCTGGGTCCATGCTTTGGTGGTGACCAGCACCTGATTGTGCACCTGTTTACATCCCTCATGAAGAGTGTGCTGGGATGTGTTCAGGCCCCCCACCTGTGAGTCAGGAGAGCTCCACCCTGGAGTCAGTGGAGTACGAGAATCGAGCAGTGTATGGGTTCCTTTGTCTAAGGAGCATGCTAGAAAACCAGCCGAGAATCGTACGATTTTCGGCTGGTTTGAACGGTGCTCGGGAGACAAATGCCGAACGGGCCGATGTGCGCACGCGCACACTGCCCGTTCAGCATTGCGGTCATCGGAAGCCCGCCCCTCAGGGGGGCGGGCTTGCGATGATCAAGAGTACGATCTGCCTGTCCAAGATAGGCAGATCGTACGTTTTCTTAATCACTTTACAACCATCGCAAGACTAAGGTCTTGCGATGGTTGTACAGTGTATGGCCACCTTTACTGTGATATCCGAGACAGGAGAGCCCCTTAATGGGGAAACATACAGCAGTAAGAACATTGGGAAAAGGTTAAACATTCCATTAGGTTTTTATTGCTGTAAGCGATTGCATTGGGGACAGTGAACAGTGGTTGCAGCAGGGACAGAAAGTGAGTGCAAATCTCACCAATGGAGACCCAGGGTGCAACTAAAACCTGGCAGAGATTCTAAACCTTACACACCCTATCCAAAACTGAAAATAAGATATTTTTGTTGGACATTTAACAGTTTACAGTTACTTAGGATATCCGTTCTCATGGTAGCAATAAAACATCCTTAAAGGGAATCCAGTACAAATGATCTTTTGTCATCTTTGCATCAAACAACCAGAAAGCAGGAAGCAACCATGAAAAAAAAACAGCCACTGAGGTCTCTTCTATACTCTTCTTAGCGGCACAAGACCACAGGAAGTAAGAGAGGGTGTCATATGAACATGTAATAAGAAACTGAAGCTTTCATCTTTTAATAGACTAGTATGGGTGCATTATACCCGTGTATAACCAAATACAAAGTTTAGCTGTGATAGCTATGGTTTAAGAGATGAGCCACTGTAGTGGGGAAGATAGGTGGTCAGTACAGGTCCTATGGTGGCAACTACTTACTGGCACAAAACTGTTTCAATCAATGTCTTTTTTTCCCATTCCCAAATCCAAGAAGTGAGTTTTCTCATGACTAAATACCAAGGTGAACTCTGTATTCAACTCTGTATTATTGAGTAGTTCTAAAACAACTCCTTCAGCTCTACTCAGAGCCTGCGCAGATACACACACAATCATCAATACATTTTCTGTATATTTTCATCTGCCAACTCTTTCTTCTGCAGAAACCATGACATTGCTTCTAGTACCCTTCATGGTCTAATGAGTGATTTAAAATTGTTAATCATTAAATACAACTCCTCATCCCCATTTAGTTCCTCTCAAACCAAGTAACACATTTCTAGGCTCTACTTCTTTTATTCAGAAAGTTTAGAGGTCACTGAATTTATTCCCAACACTGTGGGGTGTATTTATAAACAAAGGACCTGAGAAATTGCATATGCTTTTATTCTGTGCAAATGGAGGAACAAATGAGTGTTATTAGCATATTTTCTTTCCAGATTGAATGTAATATCAGGAAAATAATGCAGTATGGCCACTAGATGGAGTTGAGGAGCATCCCAAAATAAATACTTATTTCCTATGATCCTCAGTTCCATCTAGTAGCCATAATGCAGTAGTTTCCTGATATTCCATCCAATCTGGAAAGAATATATACTAATAACATTCACTTTTGCTTCCATTTGCACAGACAGAATGGTTATGCTGCAATTTCACAGGGTGGATGGCTCTGCGCATTGTTTATAAATGCTAATTGGCAGAACCATTTGCCCTGTGAAATTGCATGACTTATTAACAAAAAAGAGTGGGAACACCTCAATATTCAAAAGCCTTGTAGATACCCAGGGAGACCCATAGGGGCGGTTATAAATACAATCAAGTGGAGGAACATTTCCAAAATAATAGTTACATAGTATTTGAGGTTGAATAAAGACATAAGTCCATCAAGTCCAACCTATGATGTGTGCGTATGTATATACATACACACTCCCTTTTGCAGCACTTACTGCAATTACTTTTGCACGATATTCTAATTATTCGAGTTTCACCTGTATATGCATAGGCCCTTGCATCAGTTCATTCTTAAGTGTACCCCTGTATGTTATGGTTTCTCAGGAAATCGTCCAAAATCTTCTTGAATTATTCCACATTCTGAGCTGAAATCACTGCTTGTGGCCTTAACCGCTCTAACTGTGAAGAACCCCCTTCGCCCCTTGCGCTGGAATTTTTTTTCGACCAATTTTAGGTGGTGGCCTCTAGTCTTTGATACGGAGTTAATTGTAAAGAGATTGTTGCTAATGTTGCTGTCACCATTGAACAATTTGCACATGAAAATCATGTCCCGCCCTTAATCTCCTTACTTCCAACATGAACATGTTTAAATTTAGTAGTCGTTGTGACGGACCCCCGTACTCAGGATGAGTATGTCCGCCGCTGTCTTCTTCCTTGCTGAGGAGATATTGGAACCCGCTGATCTGTAGCTCCCAGTTTCCCCAGGCACTAGCCAAGGCTTGAGTGTAGGGTAAACAAACTCTGATTTATTGAGCACCTGCACAAACTTATATACAGCAAGTGATGAAATCAGAATATAATCCCATCACATCCACCCTCCCCTCCCAGACCATCGGTCTGCTCAACACCACAGGTGTCCACCTGCTAACGAACTCCAGACAGCCATAGTAGGAGCCCGGCCAGAATGTCATTGTTCTGAGCTCCCTCAGAGTACAATGGGAGATAACGAGGGATGGGGCTGATACTCTTTCCATAACCAGGTCACACAGCATAACGCACTCAAACATAACTCAACACCAATACACATTTAACTTATAAACTGATCACCATGTCGTCACAGTCGTGTCGTGTTTAGTAGTCATGGCAAAGACCACATGAGATCAAATTTAGGGAAACTGGGTATATAAATTCTAGAGTTTGGCCTCTCAGGTTTGTCATAATAAAAGAAAATTAAAGCCAAACCTTTTTCTTTTGGCTTTAGTTCTCTTTTGAGTCACAGGTGTACATTTACTAATGTACTCTGTGACTCAAACTCAGCATATAGCGAGCTACTGCTCACTATATGCTGACACCGCAGAGCCGCCCTGCAGTCTGATTGACAGCTGGCTTTGCCTCTCTGGATTCTACACTAATCACCTATGTAAGGGGGGATTTCACACTGATCACCAATGTATTGGGGTATTCTACACTAATCACCAATGTAATGGGGGATTTTACACGGACCACCAATGTAAGGGGAGATTCTACACTGACAACCAATGTAAGGAGGGATTCTACACTGACCACCAATGTAAAGCGGATTCCACATTGACCACCAATATAAGGGGGGATTCCACATTGACCACCAATATAAGCGGGGATTCCACATTGACCACCAATATAAGCGGGGATTCCACATTGACCACCAATATAAGCGGGGATTCCACATTGACCACCAATATAAGCGGGGATTCCACACTGACCACCAATGTAAGCGGGGAGTCTACACTGACCACCAATGTAAGGGGGGATTTTACACTGATTACCAATGTAAGTAGAACTTACACTGGTGTGAACGAGCCTGTAAGGCATCATGCTTACGGGCCTGTAGAATGTGCTCTGATTTGGGGGTGCCTTAAATTACTGATGAACAACTGAATCTTAAATAATTGTTGGGTTTATTTACAAATAGGGATACACATACATATTACAATTAAGGGAATTTGAAAGGGGAATTGGGGATAGGAATTGAGGGTAAGGATCCTACAGCTAGCTACACCATTCTCTCTCTCTCACTCACACATGCCATGGGGTTTTTCTCTGTTCTTCGGACACGCCTCTCCAGCAGGTCTCAGCGAATCACATTCTTGATTGCAGAGTTCAGAAAGACTTGTCTTGTCCAAAGGTCTTGCTTGTCAGCTAGGTTAGTGTCACACAGGAAGAAGGTTCCATCATATGCCCCTGCCCCCATCCCAGCATATATGCCTTGCTGACACAGGTGAGGGCAGTAAATACCAGCAGGGGGTCGGGCTTGCCCCAGGACATGACAGTCCAGCAGATCTCCTTTGATCAGTGTCCAGCCCCAAGAACCCTTTGATGGTCTTCATTTGCATATCAAACAGCAACGGGCAGCTCACGATATTAAGGAACCTTTCCATCAAAGATGTCAATTATTTTAGCTTCCAACAGGGCCTCCTATGTTTGACACAAGAGAAATTGATATGGGAATTGTAAGCATATTTTACTTCCTAGATTCATCTCTCGTAAGATTAAATGTACATGTGTTTACATGCATATAGCTGCAAAGCCATTTTTGCACACATGTTAAAATGCACATTTTAGGCCTGAAGATTTAAGCCCTCAAGAAATATGTATTTTTGGAAACCAGAGACATAAAAGAATAAAATGGCGAAAGTTGCAACTTTTATGTCACACAATATAAGCACAGCAGTTTATCAAACACAAACGTTCAGTAAAAATGCATGCAAATGTATTTTAGTCCTTTCAATCACAATATAATAGCCTTTTTTGGGTGTAAAATATAAAAGATGAGGTTCTGTCGAGTAAATAGATCAGAAACATGCATATAGTGCAAAAGAAAATGTGGGAGTTGTGGCAGATGTAGATACGAGTGATGCACAACATATGAAGTGTATAATAAAAATTTAGTTAAAACATATTTTATTAGGTTCACAACTAAAAATAACGACATTAAAAAAGTTGTAAATTTGTTATTGCAAATTGGTTATTTCCATGATATACAACATTGTCCACATAGTTTTAGTATCTATAGATCTTTTCTAGGATCCTCTGCATGTTTCCCTTCTTCAAGAGGATTTCAACACCTAGAATACTTATATTGTGGCCCACGTTACTGTGGAACCAGCACCTGAGGTTAGTAACCCCGGAGGGGCCGTGGATGGGCTGGGAGGGGGTAGGGAACACCCCAAACACAGAGAAAACTGGTGGACCGGGAAGCTGTCGTTAGGAGCTACATCAGTTTTCTCGAAGTTATAAAATCTTTGTTGCTTGCGTCTTCATTCATTGCAGAGACAATATATTAACACATGTTTGCAGATGGTCTCCTGCTCTCCCTGCCATGCTGCTCCTGGGCTTGCTGGAGGGGCAGCAGGGCCTGGAATACATGATGTGGGGCCCATGATGCAGGACTTGTGGTAGGGATGGTGTCTTATTGCAGCTGCCGGCCGCAGGCAAGGGGGCTTATTTGCATCTGCACACACCTTTAATTAAGGAGGCACCCAGATGTTGCCCCCATACTTGTACCCCCACTTATTCACTAAAAGGTTAAATAAAATAAAGTCACAATGAAGCTTCTTGCACATAAGGGTGAAGATCCTCTATAACAGTTTTGAACTTCAAGTGATTCCTTGCTTACAGTATATCATATGAATGTGCACGGAAACAGGGAACAATGCTTGGCACTATCCAGATCGAGGCATGATTAAACCAGATCGAGGCTTGGCTTTATTCAGCGCAGACTTGGCTGAAACCCGATCGAGGCTTGGCTTTATTCAGCGCAGACTTGGATGAAACCAGATCGAGGCTTAGCTTTATTCCGCTCATACGTGGATGGAACCCGATCGAGGCTTGGCTTTATTCAGCTCAGGCTTGGATGAAACCAGATCGAGGCTTGGCTACTGTAGCTGCTCAGGTACTGACTATACTGTATAAAGAGGTGATCAATATCGCCGTACCCCCGCTTATGCCATCACATATGTTTTAGTATCTAAGTTTCAGCTTTCTCACGAACCAGCCCACGTCAGAGTGTGGCGCCTCCTATAGATGTTATTTGCTCGTAGTGCACAACCATGGAATGTACAGCACAGAGGGTTACATATCTCAGCTCATCTTTTTGACCAAACCTCAGTCTTATGAGCAGTATGTTTGTCCCAGCGCCGTCCCGTAGCTAGGTCAGATCACGTGACTCGGGAGCGTGGAGCTGTCAGTGTGGAGCCATAGATGTGAGTGTCATGGAATGAGTAAGTGGAGTTCCATCCAGCAATCAGTGAGGGGTCAGCGCTGTACAGCTATATGTGACTGCTGTCAGCCTTCACCCACACAGCATTCCATGCATCGAGGAGCCCTCATTTGTCTTCTGTCAGATATTTAAATCATGGAAGCAGCTCAGAGTTTGCATCTCTCTTCATGGCATGCTTCAACCAGTTTACCCAGCATACCCGAACAGAGACAGCAGGTCTGTGGCTGCCAGCTTTGTTCCCACATGGATTTTATGACCTGCTCCTTCAATCAGCTGATCGAGGAATGCCGGCCAGAAAGCGGCACCACCCACTGTGTGAATTTCGGCAGATTCCACAAGAATTGGCTGAAATTTGCACAGTGTTTATTATCTGTAATATCAGTAAATTTAACTAATACTGATAATTTAAAACATTTGTGAATATCGGCCCTGATTATGGGAAGATTCGATAATTCACCATCTCCCAGTTCTAACCTTACCCACTCTTTCTAAAACTAGCTATGCACAGCTCGAGTCCTGCTGACTCACCCACAATTCCCCAGCTCGGGACCACTCCATTCAAACAAAGTCGATTTTCATTTGACTTGTTGAAGGAACCGTCTACAACTTCTTGGTTAAACATTGTCTGCAGCCAATCAGCTAACGTCACTGTTGGAGTATTTGGACAGCAGCAAGGCTGCTATCGGGTGACTGCCTGCTGTTTACATTCAGCTGCCGGATGTAGAATCCTGCCGCCAGCAGATGAATGGGGTGGGGTGTGAGTCTTAGTAGGGGTCGACCAAAATCAGGAGACTGCCGGCTGTATACATTCAGCTGCCGGCTGTAGAATCCTGCCGCCGGAAGATGAATGGGGCGGATGCTCCATAGGGTCGGCCGCTATCTGGCAACTGCCTGCTGTTTGCACTCAGCTGCTGACGCAGCTGGATGTAAACAGAATATCAGTACCTGACATTGGTTATTGGTCTGAAAGATGGCATCAGTACATAGTTAATAGCTGATTGAATGCAAAGAATATGCATGTCCATTATTCAATTTTTCTCTGCATTTTCCAAGTTTCCAGTAGATTACATGTTTTGATTTTCTGGGGAAAGTCTGGACAGGATGAGACAGCCAAGAGCACAATGACTGTATATGTGGTTGTAGCATATCTATATCATCACAGAATATCTGGATCATACAGATTTGCCCATATGTGTGTGGGCAGATTTGTTCACCCAGGCTGGGTCAGTTAATTTGGTCCTTTGTGATTGGCTTTCTTTAGGCACATCCATTAGACTATTAAGAGTTACATTTCAGTGGACAGCTCTAATTTGCACTGCACAGAAGTTTTGGTTGTCGAAACTAACAATTATGATTCTTGCTAATATATTGTAACCAATCACCAATTTAGTTTTTGGAGAGATAACGTTACCTTGCCCATGCAGGGCAAAGTGACAGTGGGCCCAATAAACTTTTGTTGATCCAACATTTATTTTGGCGCACATGTAATGTGCACATGCTATGCTCCAAATCATCAATATACTGCACCTGTGTTGAAGATAATTTGTGACACGTTCCAGACACTACAAAATAGCACAGATATTGGCCACACATCTCCCTGGTCTGACCAGGCTGACTACCTCTGATAAGCATCTGGACAGGTACTATACAGAGGGGGACTGAACCAGGAGAAGCTGCCTGCTCCCTCTGCTCAGTTAGGCATGACCTGCCATGGCTGAATTCAATTCCAGCCAGCTCTGACAGGCAAATCTTCTGGCGAGTGTAAGAGCCCTGTGTTAATTCTCACCCCCACATACCTATTGGCCCATCACTATGATGGGAAGCCTCGCTGATCACTAGGAATGTGCAGGAGGATGGAAGGAAGGGGGGCAAAGTCCTGTATGAAATGCGGGCCAAATCCTGGACTATTCTGATAGGTCACTAAGCACCATACACCACACATTCCTATTGAATCATCACTATGGGAAAAGCTTTGGAAGTGTTGGTGCTTTGCCTATCAGAAGAATCCAGGATTCAGCAGTGACAGGAGGGTGTGGGTGACTGCTGTAGGTATTTTCAGGAACTTCCTACCTGCAGCAGTTTTTTTTTTTTTTTGTAATTTAGATGACAGATTCTCTAACAGCTGTTGGGATACAATACCATTAACATAAGGAGGGTTTTGTTTTTAATGAGTCAGTCAACTCTTAGGGGTTTATTTAAAAAAAAAAATTTGCATAGCTGACCATCCAGTGAAACTGCATGTGCTGTACATGTGTTCTGCGCGAATGTTGTGAGAATTAGCAGGTAAATGTAACAATTACTACTACAGGATCTCCTTTTGTTGCAATTGTTACAGACATTTGTTAAATCCCTTTAGTGTTATCTAGAATTGTTACATTGTATCTTATATTACTTGAATGTGTACTTGTTTCAGGCCAGTCACTCACACATTAATCCTTTTGGTAAGTGTGCTAGCCGTGAAAGACAAACAACTACCATCGTCAAAAGGGGATTGGCAATGTCTCTCCATTGGTCTCAGGAAAGGTTTGCTTTAAGTAAACCTTTTCATTGCACTGTGTGTTTTGTATGTAGGCATCTCAAGCAGAATTTACTGATTATTTGGTGAATACGCTGTCCTTTCACATTACATTAGAAACTATTAAAACTTGAAAAACAGTATTTCAATATTTTGTTAAAAAAAGCTTGTGTAAGAGCCTCCTGAGCATTGAGCTTTTACAAAACACGTGCAGGGCTTTCATCAAACTTTGTGGAAGGTTTTAAACCACCATTCAGCTCCAGTTTGGAATGTTAAAGACCGACTGTAATGGGAGTGCTGACTGTTACTTCAAATAAACGGTTAGCTGGCTTCTGTAAGCATCAGCACTACATGGAGCTTGGTAAAAGCCTTCCCAAGATTTTGCTGTGCAGGCTGTCCTTATACAAGCTGAAGCCCATGTCCACAAGACCTAAATCATGTAGAATGTGCAATTCCACCCCTTTTGCTAATGCTCCACCTTGGTAAAGAATTGTTAGACGCAATATATTCTACAGAACAATGGTCTCATTTTTGGTACAGTTTTTTGGTATACTTATGCTCATAAGTATAGTTTTGTACGTAGCAAATATGATGAATAAGTTGAATAGAAGGTTTGAAAACTGAAACCTAATGACTTTTTTCTCTTTTGTTTATAGCATAACACAATGTCCAGTAAAGAAGTGAAAGCCGTGTTGAAGAATGCCAGAGATTCAATTAGAAATAAAGATTATAAAGAAGCACTCAAGCAGTGTAAGGTAAGGCTTATGACCCTGTCATTTAGGGCTTATAGAAGAACTCTGTTAAAGGAGAACTATGGGGTCAGTGTCTTTCCCCATAGTTCTCCTTAGGGTAACGGGAGGACACCCGTTACCCTAAGCTCAGTATACCGCAAGCTACAGCTCGCGGTATACTGAGACGCCGGAGCGGATCCCGACTTAGACGATGGGATCTGCCCAGCTGCGTGATTGACAGCTGGCTCTGCCTATCTAGAGGCAGAGCCAGCTGTACCTGCCCCCTCCCCCGTCCGTTCCGCCAGTCAGCGCTGGCAGATCGGAGCGGGGAGAGGGGAATCCAGCCCCTCCCCCTGTCACGGCAGAGAGCCGTTACAGGATCGAGAGGTGAGCGAACCCGGTATGTGTTCGCTCACCTCCCGATCTACTGAGCCGACCTGTGACAGTCTCATTGTCATAGGTCGGCTAGAACTATGAGGTGAGTGAAAAGCACTCACCTCATAGTTCTCCTTTTAAAGAGCTGAACTTTGTAAGCTGTGCCCAAAAAGGCAGACAGAGGATTAGTTTTGGATCATTGTCCTGCTGCAGAACCCAAGTTCGCTTCAGCTTGAGGTCACGAACAGATGGCCGCATATTATCCTTCAGGATTTTTTGGTAGACAGCAGAATTCATGGTTCCATTTATCACAGCAAGTCTTCCAGGTCCTGAAGCAGCAAAACAGCCCCAGACCATCACACTACCACCACCATATTTTACTGCTGGTATGATGTTCTTTTTGTGAAATGCGGTGTTAATCTTACGCCAGATGTAATGGGACACACACCTTCCAAAAAGTTCAACTTTTGTCTTGTCAGTCCACAGAGTATTTTCCCAAAAGTCTTGGGGATCATCAACATGTTTTCTGGCATAACGGAGACGAGCTTTTATGTTCTTTTTGCTCAGCAGCGGTTTTGTGTCTTGGAACTCTGCCATGCAGGCCATTTTTGCCCTGTCTCTTTCTTATGGTGGAGTTATGAACACTGACCTGAACTGAGGCTAGTGAGGCCTGCAGTTCTTTGGATGTTGTTGTGGGGTCTTTTGTGACCTCTTGGATGAGTCGTCGCTGCGCTTGGTGTAGTTTTTGTTGGCCGCCCACTCCTGGGACGGTTCACCACTGTTCCATGTTTTCACCATTTGTGGATAATGGCTCTCACTGTGGTTCGCTGGAGTCCCAAAGCTTTAGAAATGGCTTTATAACCTTTTTCCAGACTGATAGATCTCAATTACTTTCTTTCTCATTTGTTCCTGGATTTATTTGGATCTCGGCATGATGTGTAGCTTTTGAGAATCTTTTGGTCTACTTCACTTTGTCAGTCAAGTCTTATGTAAGTGATTTCTTGATTGCGAATAGGGGTGGCAGTAATCAGGCCTGGGAGAGAATTTTGACTCAAGTGTAATAAACCAGAGTTAAGTTATGTTTTAACAGGGGGGGCAAACACTTTTTCACACAGGGCCATATGGGTTTGGATTTTGTTTTCCCATAATAATAAAAAAAAAACCCTCCTTTTAAAAACTGCATGTTGTGTTTACTTTTGTTATCTTTGACTAATATTTACATTTGTTTGATGATCTGAAACATTAAAGTGTGACAAACGTGCAAAACAATGAAAAATCAAGGGGGCCAACACTTTTTCACACAACTGTATGTGTTTGTAGATTTGTCATTACTAAACATTTCTAAAGGTGTGTTATTATTTTGAAGATATAGGTAAAGTTCCTCTGTGAGAAGGTGTTCTAATAAAGTTTTGTTGTATCTAGTTCCCTTTTTAAACATGTGAATAGTTAAAGGTAACAGTAAATGGCTGTTGTGAAGTATTAGATTATCATTTTTAAATGATAGTTGCCCATACATTGTTCAATAAATTACATTTTCAACAAAGTCTGTGTTGAGCTGTGGTGATTTTCTATAGAATGGAAGTAGGTTAACCTCTCGTGTCCCCTCTTCAGATTTCTGTCTTACTATTAGTTCCTTTTCCAACTCCTAGAAAGTAGTTAATGAAAGTGTACTAAACGGACTTCCTTGAAATACAGGATCTTTGGTTTCTGACTAGCTGTTCGATTAACCGCTTCAGGACTGCCCATTGTAAAAAAAAAAAGTCCTTTCCTGAAGCGGTTATACCAAGAACACAGCACTGTTGCAGCCGTGTTCTTGGTATCATTTTAAACAGCAGGCGATTGCTGTTTAAATACAAGCAATCCGACGGCTGCTTAGTACAGTACAGTGCGGCGATGTGTGGACTCCGCCAGCTTCCCCGGGCTCCACTGTCCTCCATGTGGGCCCGGGACTGGCATGGCGGGTCCCTTCTCACTGATCGGACAGATCAGCAAGCTTCCAGCCGCCGATCTCTCCTCCGATCACTGGACCGGTAAGTGATGTGTATTATATCACTTCCGGTGTCACTGTTTACATTCTCCGGCTCTTAGAGCCAGAGGAAGAAGCTGGGGAAGCAGATCTCTGCTTCATCAGCTTCTTTGGGGTCCCTTGGTGACATTAAAGGTCTGAAATACCCCTGATGTCTCCATAAAGAGGACCTGTCACATTATATTTACTATTAGATAGGGTGCTTGTTAGCCTCCTATGTGATAGCAATAAAGTTGAGTGTAAAAAAAAAAAAAGCAAAAGTTAATAAAATGAAAGTAACATAAAAAAATGCAAAACAATATTTTTCATTCTACAGGGCCTCTGCTTTCAGAAAATATATCATTGTTTGGGGGGTCTGGAGCTGTTTTCTAGCCAAAAATTCAGATTGTATCATGTGTGCGCAAATGTAAGAAATTGCTCCGGCCAGGAAGTGGTTAAAGAAAACACTTAGCAGACACAACTGTATTATATTTGTGGGCAATGTTTTGTTTGGTATATCGATTAGTGAAATCTTCTGTGTGTTCTGTTTTCATCTGCAGGCAGCTCTGAAATTGGACAAGAATAACTACAATGCCTGGGTTTTCATTGGATTAGCTGCTGCCGAGCTGGAGCAGGAAGGCCAAGCACAAGCTGCCTACAGAAAAGCCGCAGAGCTCGAACCAGAACAGCTATTGGCCTGGCAGGTGTGTCATTGTCGTGCTTTATTACTACTGAAACTTGAAACTGCCATTTACAAATTCCATAGTCATTTCACATTTTGCGCACAAATAAGCTGTTAGATTGTTTATTGAAGAAGAACTCCAGGATTTTATTAAAATTACCCTGTGCTTCAAGGGTTAACTGCTTGTTTTAGTCTAGGGGCTCAAATAAAGCAGATTTACTTACTTGATCCTGAAGAAGTTAGCGCTCGCTTCTCTCCCCCTCCGCTCCAGCTGTGGAACGACTCTCCGCATCCTGAAGTCTAATGCAGGTCATGGACCTGCATTAGTGGTTATGATATCATCGGTGCTTAGACTGCTGGAGCCCAGGGGAGAAGAGGATGCAGGGACCAATCTAGCAACCAGGCGCTTTCCAAGGATCAGTGAAGTATATCTTCTTTATCTGAACCCCTAGACCAATATGTGCACTTAACCCTTGCAGTGCCGGGGTAACCCTACTGCAGGGGTTAGTTTTGCAATGTCTGGAGTTTCCCCTTTTAAACGTTGCTTTGGTTGCCAATAAAGTGGCACAGTAGCTTTGAGTGTAACACCGTGTTTGACAAATGTTGTTTTTTATTGTGTGCCCTCATCACAACTGTGACTTTAAGTGCCAATTATATGATTAAAATTAACTACATGTTCCACCTACAAAACACACACACACACACACACACACACACACACACACACACACACACACACACACACACACACACACACACACACACACACACACACACACACACACACACTATACCCCCGATGCTGGAACGTCCATTCAGAGGGAGATTTCCTCTGGCTGGCATTGTCATGAGGGAACATGTAGCCAGTTGGGAAGCCGGATCGATGCTGATTGGCTGGGAAGCCAGCTTCCCGGCCATCAACATCGAGCCTGCCAAACAGCATGCAGCTGGCCTCCCGGGCAATCAAGTAGCCAGGCAGCGGGTCATAACACCTCGTCTGGCTTTCTGATTGCATGGGAAGCCAGCACCATGCTAGCAGAGGTGCTATCAGTATTCGGTATCGGCGAGTACCGAAAGATAAATCTTGGTCCTCGATACCGAGAAACCGGTATTGGTGCATCCCTAAACACACCTATGCACCATGGCTTCTGCCACCAGTAGCTGGCACTATATTACGTATTAGAAATTATGCGTCCTGCCGTTTTGAACTTTAGGAAACACTGTTGTAACCATGAGCCAAGCTCCAGTCTTACATGCGTGGGCTTTACATAATACCGGCCAACCAACAGAATAAAGACCCTGAACCCAGAAGGGAGAAGGTGACAGAGCGGTTGATGGAGCGGAGAGTGGACAGCGCAGCGCTGGAATGGATTGTTTGCAAGTTAAATCGGCCATAATGTACCAATTGCGTATATTAGCACATCATGGCAAACAGCTGTGATTCCTTACTGTGTGCTTGGTTTTTTTTTTGGTGGGTGCGTGTTGAGGGCTCATTGAAAATGAAAGGGCACATGTAACACCACACGCTCTTGAAAGTGGCTCTAAACCTTATCGACAGGCTGTCAAATACCTGTATTTAATTATAATCGCTTTGATGTCTCTTCTGAAAAATGTAATGTGTGGATGACATCATACACTAAAATAAGCATATAAATTAGTCAATATCCTTGCATTTTATGAATGCTATTACTTATAATAATAATATATTTTTTTATTTAGGGGTTGGCGAATTTGTATGAAAAAGTCAGCCAAAAAGAATTAAAAGAAGACTTGCCAAATGTGTACCAAAAGCTGTTGGAACTTTACAAAACGTAAGTTAAATATAAGTGCACAAAGGTCACAGTGCTACATACTGTATGTACAGAATATTATATACTGTATGCCTGAAGTGACCTTTGAAGGTGAGTGTTTTTTTCTTTTGTTTAATCTTGGATGTCTCCTGCCACAAAACACTTTTACAGCTACTGAATCTACATGAACATGTTTTTATCCTCTTTCACATGGACATCGTCTGTTCCAGTCAGCAGGTGATCCCTGAACAGATCTCCTGCTGAATTGGAGCAGAACAGTACAGATGTCACTTTTGTGATATCCATGTCCGTTCAGTTTTTTACTCCCTCTTGTGATGAAAGAAAAAAACTGAGCTTAACTGGCCCGTGGTAGCTCTATAGGCAGGTGGATGTAAAAGGACATTCATCCATTTGCATCCTATGAGCTCCGATCCATCAGGTTTAGGTCCAAAAATCGGAGAAGGGCAAAAACCCTTTTCTGTCCATCTGCCTATAGACTAACATTGAGCGTCAATAAAATGATAGGTAATCTGATTGGTGCGGCTGTGGGAAGGGGGCCATAGGTGGAAGCTGCTTAATATTGTGATGTTATATAGGGATGTTAAAAGGGAAATCACAATGCAATGGGAGACATTTCTAAAGCTTGTTGCACAGCAAGGCAATGCTAACAGGAGCAGTAAGACAGATAGTGTTTCAGCTTGTTACAAGGTTACAGCTTTAGTCATAAATTCCTTTCTTGGCTGTTCTGAAAGCACAGTGCAACTGAATGGAACTCTTTAATTATGAGTCTATTTACAGTGAACATCTGTCTCATCTTCATGAATCTGTTGCAGACCTTGCAAATCTGTTGCAGTTGGTTGCCCAGGAATTTTGATGCACAGGTCACAAATACACTTTCTGCCAGGTGTCAGACTGGCAAATCTGGAAAGTCAGGAAATCACCAGCACTCAGTAGTAAAGATAAATATGTCCCTTTTTATTGGACAGAAAGCGTCACAGACATCCAAATAAACGTTTATTTGGATGTCTGTGAAGCTTTCTGTCCAATAAAAGAGACATATTTATCTTTACTACTGAGTGCTGGTGATTTCCTGACTTTCCTGTGTTTGCACGGCGCCATCCGTGGTAATTCATCACTGCGAGCACCACTTTTTTCTTATCTGTCCGGGACTGCTGTGAGGAGTGCGGAGGGTCTCTCCATCTACTTACAGACTGGCAACTCTGTCGCCAGTGATCCTTCCGCTGGTGCTTTTGTCGAAATTGCCAGTGGCAGGATCAGTAAAAGACTTCCTGTTTTTCCCTATGGAACCGCTACCTGTGTAGCTAAGGCAGTGAGATGTCGCTCCCATCACTAGTGATCAAGATTCAGCAGCACTCCGACTATTGACAGAGTGACATCGCATTGCATCTGGCTACAGAGAAGCCATTCCATAGGGACAGACAGGCAGCCTCTAGTGGTAGAATCGCCCGTCTGACATCAACCTTAACCTGTTGCAGACACTTTGCTAAGTGATAGGCAGCCTGATTTCCATCTATGTTGCTAATTTGTTTGATAAATGTCCCCCAATGTATTTTTACTAAGCAGGTTTTTTTTTCCGTTTTTTTTTATTCAAGCACTACTATGCTTTCTTCTCAGCCTAATTTTGAAGTGAACAAATTAAAACACAAACGCACCCATCACACTCATGACTGGATAAAAAACCCTAATCGTAGGGTGGGTGCTGAAATGACCTCGGATGCCTCCGCAATATAAGTCCAAAACATACAAAAAAGGTCACATGCAATCCAGCATGTAGAAAAGTCAATGTTTATTGACTTCAAAGGTGTCACATCATCAGAGCAACATTTCGGAACAGCAAAGTCACTTCCTCAGGCAAAACAGATAATGAAAAATTCAAACACACACACTTTTTCCTCTTTAAATTACATGTTTGACTTCTGCAATGGCTGTGGGGACTGTTCACGCAGCAGGTGGAGACAATACAATGTAAATTCATTGATATTGCTTTCAGTTGTTTTGTGTCATGGCTCTGTTGTGTTTAGTCTTTTGACTCGTACAATATTTGCACAAATAGACCTTTTATAGAATTGTTTTTTTACCTTCGTTTTATTTCAGTCAAAGGAGCACTCTAGTCTTAATTTAAGAGCCGATCATTAATGGGGAAGAGTTGTAGTTGTAGAGCGAGGGTTTCTACTGCTATCTGGAGCTCCAATATAGGGATTTCCCCTTACCTGCTGTGTTACAATGGATTCACTAGACAGGAAGTGAGGAACAATCTGCAAAAGAAACACAGACAGCAGTAGAAAGCTGACAGGTTCTAGCCTTCCCTCATTCTTCTGAAAGGAAACTACAAATGATTTCTGTCTCTGTAGTTGTTGCAGATTGTTCCTATTTTCCCTTTATTTCCCTCCATAAAGTGACACTAAACTCAGGATTTAAATCTTAAAAATGCATTCAAGGACCTTAACTATTAACAGAAATGTATCTTATTTGTGTATCACTCGGATGTAGATCCTCAAATCAGCTCTGAACTCATGCTGACAGTGTCCTTCCTTCTGCAGGGTGGCTACATTTCTTCCCCATGGTCCCTGTGTGTGTTGTATAGTAGCCGCCGTTCCTAGCTCGCTCCTGTGATGGACTACAATCTCACTACAAATTAGTAAACTAAATGTGATATTGTAGTCCATCACAGGGGTGAGCTTGGAGTGGATACCATAATCAGTGAATATTTATTTTTCCCTGGAGGGGTTATGCTTTACTGTCAAAGCTGAAAAGAGCCAGCAGCTTACTTGGCCTCATTTATGAACAAGCATCTTTGCAGAAAAGTGTTTACTGCCCCTTAGCAATCAGTCTCATTCTTCTCCTTGTTTTCCTTTCCGCAGAAAAACAGGAACTTTGCGGTTGCTATGGGGATTGACCCTTTTACTCAGGCCAGTTGTATTTTTAAAGTGAAAGTCCAGGCACAGAAACAACATTGTTTTATAAATAATGGGTCTGCCAGCGGGTTAACATGGTGGATAATGAACTTCTGTAGACCATCAGGGTATATGGTCCAGGCCCCTCCAGTGATAGATTTGCATAGTGTCTCAGCATAAGCATCTGGGATCACCCACACGTGAATAGGACCTGCCCAGAATGTATTCCCAACCCGTTGTAATTATCCCCCAACCCGTATGATTTAAAACATCAGATGAGTAAAGGATCATGGGCTTCAGACTTTAGAACTAGAACATAGGCAGTCGGAGGAATTTTATTTTTTACCCGGCAACCCCTGAAACAATTTGGTGAGTAAGATGGAATCACTTTAGAGATCCTAAGGGGCACCAGATACCACCTAAAGAGCAGTTTATAATTAGCCTCTATCGCCTGGACGTTAGCTGAGCTTCGTGAGGTCGTCATCCATATCTGGGACCACGTGTCAGGAGAGATATTACAGCCCAGTTTTCCCAGTTTTTTTTGCTAAAATTAGGTACCTCGGCTTATATTCGGGACGGCTTATACTCGAGTATATACGGTAGTAAAAAATAAAACCCCCAGTGGTGAATAAATACCACCAAAAGAAAGCTCTATCTGTCCTCAAAAAAGGGTATAAAATTCATTTCAGTCCAGCGTTGCATGACGGAATAAATGTCAGTCAAAGTACCGCAGCGCTGAATACTGAAAAATGGCCTGGATGGGAAGGGGGTTTAACACTGCGGATGTCAACTGGTTAAATGTGGTTTTTGCTGCTGAACGTGGTTTTCCCAATTTTCATTATTTTATACAACACTTTGTCATTGTTATCCACTGGTGGTGGTATGATTATGGGAGTGCTGACTGACTTTAGCTGGCCATACACTGCTTAATTCTTGCCTTCAACCTGGAGGTTGAATGAAAAAAATAGAGACGATTCCTCCATCAACGCTAGGAGCGCATTGGTCGTGGAATACCCGCTGTTTCTTTTGTATTCTGACAGCGGCCGCCGACCACTCTTCGGCTCCATCGATCAGCTGATGGAGGGATACCGGCTGAAAGAGTGCCGACGGTGGCATCCACTGTGCAAATTTCGGCCGGTTCCTCAAGAACTGGCCAAAATGTGCGCAGTGTATGGCCACCTTTTACTTATTGCTGTTTATTTCATGTGTATCTAAAACCAAAACTTGTATGTTTTGGATAATTTGGAAGGAATTCAAACCCCTGTCAGATTTTTAGTGCTTTCTGTGCTGCTGGGGAGCTTTAGGCCTGGTTCACACTGAGCGTTTTCTAGCACTTTTTCTGCCCTAAAAAAAAAAAAAACACCCCAAAAAAATCCCATTGATTTCTATGGCTCTGCTCACATCTGAGCATTTGGTCCTGTTCACATCTATCATTGGAAGAAGTGCATGAGCTTTTTTTGGCACAATGTAGCTCGTTTTGGCCCCATAGACACAATAGCAAATGCTTGAAAATGCGCGTTTGCTGTGCTTTTGCACTTTCAACGCGCGCCTGCCTATTAACATCAGTGAGCTAGAATCTGCTCACAAAAATGTGCGACTTGATTTATGCGTAAAAACCTGCATGGAAATGCTGTCGCCTAGGTGTGAACCCAGCCTTACTCTATTTGCCAGGAAGTTAAAGGAAATCATTCAAGGAGGACACTTGTTGCCGTGACAACTGTCTAAAAGGGGATTCCCTTGTACTTTGGAGAGATTTCCTCTTCCTGTTGTGTTCTAGGTACAGGATGTGAAAGGATACCTTAACAGGACACAGATAACAAAAAATAGAAATATGACCGGGAGTTTTCTCTTACTCACTTTATTCAAAAGTAAAAAAAAAGATTGGCTTTACAATGTAAAACGTTTTATTTAATAAACAACCTTTCCTTAAACTGAACTCTGGGATCAGCATATGTAGTCTAAACATAAGAGGTGTGTGTAATCTTGGTGTGCTTCATGTTTTGTCTTCCAGATCTGTGCAGTAATCCAGTGCGGAACTGGAGCTTCCTGTTATAAAGACCAGTCACTGCTGCTCTCAGCTTGTGCAGAGTGACTGGTCTTGTCTCCGCCCCCTTCTGTAATTTTCTGCAGGCAGCCTGTAGTTGGGGGACCTGCTGGGCTCCTCCCACAGCTCTGCTGTCTGCACGGTCTATGTGCAGCACAGTGATCATGTCACTGCTAATTTAACTGGGTTTGCAGAGGCATTTTGTGCACACAAAGTAGATTTTATTCCTTTGTGGAGAGTGAGAAATAAATATACAGTAAACTCTCTGTTATCTGGAATTCAACTAACCAGAACTCTCATCTAACTAGAAAATCCCCTGTGTACTCATTGTTCTGCTTATCTGCAGCCTGTGTTGTCCTAATTTGCTTTTGATGACTGCATTTCAATATTAATATGAAGTAAATACAGAGTTACTGGTATGGTATAGTATGGGGTATGGCATTAGTTAGACCTATCTATAATAATAAGTAACTCTCAAACAACCGGAAACTACATTTATCCGGAATCTACCAATCCCCGTGGATGCCAAAACATTTTTTCTTAAATTTGTGGCTAGAGTATTGAATAGTTAAAATCTCTGTCAGGTTTTTATGCTATCTGTGTCCCATTACAAATGATGCCCTTCATTTTCTGTCCTGTCCACAAAACAGGAAGTGAAATGAAATCTCTCCACAGTGGGAGAAATCCTCTCTTAGACAGTTGTCACAGGAACAAGTGTCTCCATTCGAAGATTTTCCCTTAATTACTGTTCTGGTGACAAATAAAAATTTGGGATTTTCCCTCTCTTCCTGTTCCCATGGCAATGGTCAGCAGGACAGGTAGGTATGGTGAATGTTCTTAGTGGGACACAAACAGCAATGTAATCCTGATGGGTTCTAACCTCTTACCACTGTACCCAAAACTAAAAAAAAGGGTTTGACTTTAGATACCCACATTATAGTCAGTTCCCTGCAATCCTTTTATCTGTCCCGTTTCCAGCTCCCCGATTACCATTACGCAACACAAATCACATGACCTAGGCCACATGATTTGCCACAAAATAAAATATCCACTCTTACAGTCCTCTCTCACATAATGTTCCATATATTCATTGAAGAAAGGATGTTCCATTCACGTGTCTGTGCATATGTGTTCTCTCCTAGCTCTGACAAACAGAAGTGGGGTGAAGTGTGTAAAAAGCTGGTTGATCTGTACAAGGAAGATAGAAAATACTTACAGGTGAGTGTGGATACTATCCACGTTATTCTCTACAATATCGCATTCTATGTACAGCAGTGTGGCAGGGACAACAGTGAAGAAAGTTCTAGTTAGGAGGATACATCATTCACAACATTCACACGGGTAACGGCCGGCCCGTACAGATCCGTCCTGCGTGCACGGCCGTATCGGGCCTCTACCGTGAAGGACAGGTGCTGCATGTGATTACACGCAGCAGCCTTTCCTTCTCTATGAGTGTACGCTGCCCTACGCTCACCCGCCCTGCGTCCGAGCAGGGACACCCGCACCCGTACAGACGTGCAGGTCGGGTAAGCGCAGGGCAGCGTACAGTCGCATACTCCCATAGAGAAGAACAGGCTGCTGCGTACAAATCCCACGCAGCACCTGTCCTTCCCGGGAGCTGCCAGATACGGCCGTGCATGCAGCACGGTCCGTACAGGCCGGCCGTTACCCGTGTGAATGAGGGCTAATAGATGCAGTTTTCTGCAGTGGTTGTTAGTGTAACTTAAAATGTAATTCCACTCTCCACAGTGACATTTGGATGACACCTATTTTATATTTGACTCACATTCTTAACTTGAAGAACTCCGGGCACAAATTTAATCAAACATTGCAGTGGGGCTACCCCAGCACTGCAAGGGTTAGCTGCTCATATTTGCCTAGGGTCAAAAAAAAAAAAGTTATACTCGCCCAATCCTCTGAGCCATCAGCGCTCCCTCTTGCCTGTTTCCTCCTTGAGGATCCTGCTGCAGTGGAGGGAGGTGAGACTCTCCAGAGACTGGTCTAAGAGCAAGCCGGCTCCGAGGATCACTTTTTTTGTTTTACCCTAGGCAAAAATGAGCAGTTAACCTTTGCAGTGCTGGGGTAGCCCCACTGTAAGGGTTAATAATATTTTTGCCAGTTCTTACATTTTTTTTTTTAATAGCTGTTTGCACAATAAATGCTCTATCCTGGAGGAAAGCTATTCTATGTACTGATATCTGTTCTGGAATGCAAGGGGGGCTGGGTATGTTAATGTTAATATGAACTGGATATGAACACTGTCTGTCCTAACTAAGGGTTAAAAGTCCCATCACATTGTATGTTAACAGGAGGAAGCTCCGCATGTCCCTAGTCTTCTTATGGGGACAGACAGTTTCCTGTCACAAAGAAATTGAGGGAAGTCCAGCTGCACAGACCCAACTAAAGCTGGCCATACATTGTTTGTTTTTTAGAACAGACTGCTCCATCAACACTACGAGCGTGTTGATAGAGGAATCCCCGTGGTTTCTGTTGTGACCTGAGCAGATCTGGCAGCCAATGAGCTGTCCGTTCAAAGATTTTCCTACTGGCTCCTTCAATCACCTGGCCGAAAGGGTGCCGACAGCGAATTTCGCCTACTTCCTGAAGGACCGGCTGAAATCTGCATAATCTATGGCCAGCTTAAGGCCTTGTTCACACCAAATGCAGAGCAGATCTGCAAGAGTTTCTGCACAAGCAGTGCAGTGGGTTTTGCCGCGTTTTTAATGCGTTCCGGGCCGTTTTTGGTTTAAAAAAAAAATATATATTTTTTTGTTAGTTTAGAATGGGCTTTTAGTGCGCTCCAGGGCGTTTGTATGCTTTTTCTGGTGCGTTCCAGAGCGTTCAAGAGCAGGTAAAATAGGGCTTGCTGCAGTTTTTTTTTACATGCTCTGGAACTGAACGCTGCTGTGTGAACTAGAGCTCAAAATACCATTGGAATACCATGGATGCAGTTTTGATCCGGCCTGTAACTGCTCTGCTCTGCACCTGGAATGTGCTTGGTGTAAACAAGGCCTAAAAGGTAAGAGATGGTTTTTAAAAAAAAATATTTCCAGTATGCTCTGTGAATGAGAACACATAACAAACATATAGTGGGTGTTTCTCAAATTTGACTGCAAAAGTGTGTTCCTAGAGGAGCCTTTCTCAACCAGGGTGCCTTCTGACTTTGTCAGGGATGCTTCCAAATTTTGGCTAAAGGGTGAGGGGTGGGGGGATGTAAAAGAAGGGAGGGGAGACTCCCATTTTTTTGGAGTTCTTTTTTACCAGGGGTCCCCACGCCTTAAAATACATGCCAGACCCATGTCTAGGATAAGGTTTCAGTATTGATTTTGGAAGTGGGGACCACTCGCCATCATTTTTTACATTTAGACTGGGGTCATTTGAAATTTTGCATACTTTTAAAAGGTTGAGAAATACTGCTCTAGAAAACACTTTTTATTTATTTTGATGGAGTAGGTAAGGGTCCAACCTTCTGACAAGTTTTTATTGCTGTCTAAGTCCACACAGGGAAGATTCCCCTCTTTATTTGTACTGGTGAGGGAAAATCCAAAATTTTAGAGTTGTCCTCACAACAAGAAGGAAGGTGAAATATTTCAATAGGGACACCTGTTCAGGGGATAAGTGTCTAAGAGGGGAATTCCTCTCACTGGGAGATTGCTTCTAACTTCCTGTTGCATCTCTTAGACAGGAAGTGAAGGAAAATTTCCCCAGTGGTACACAGGGAAAACAAAAACCTGGAAAAGGTTCTAACCTTTGCATAGTCTTCCCAAAATCAGATAAAAAACAGGTTTGGCTATACATACACTTTTAAGGAAAATCTGTCCCACAGTTTACAAACATAGACCTGTGACTAGAGGTTCACTGAAATGAAATTTTAAACCGAAAATAAAAAAAAGTCAGGCCGAAAGCGAAAATAGTTGTTGTTTTCAAAGCTTTTTTTACAATATTTAATTTTTATTTATTTTTTATAAACTGTTCTTTTTTGTATATTTTATTTTTATTTCTTAATTGTTTTATTTCTTTTTATTAACTATTTTTATTTTTTTTACTTTACTTTTGGGGGCTTTGGGCAAATATTAGGGGTCTAAATAGACACCTGATATTTCCCTTTTAAAATGGAAAAAGAGATTGAGGACACAGAGACTCAATCTCTTGTTCTGCATCTCCTGTTATCAATAAACAGGAATCCTCTATACTGAGTGTTCCTGTTCATTCATACGTTGTGGATATAGTATGTTTCCCATATCCACATTATGAATCAACAGGAAGTGATGTAGATCACTTCCTATTCATTCGTAACTGGTACATAGTAACTCATACTATGTTCAGTTATTTGCAAACAGTCAACGATCACTGGTTGCTGACTGTTTGTACCGCTCTGCATCCTGACTCGCTGTCACAGGAGGGTGAGGCGAGCTCGGTCTATTTGCAGCTGACTCCTCCCCCTCACCACTGGCCTGGGCTCCTATGACAGCACACCGTTGTCTCCGCCCCCTCACCGCTCTCTATCCTGATCGGTCAGAGGAGGCTGAGGGGGGCGGTGTGGGAGGGGAGCCCGTCCTCCTGTGACATTGCGGCTCACCGCGCCCACCTCCCCTCTGCACCTTTTCCCCTCTCTTCTGACAGTTTCTCTTCTCCCTGCTGGACGCTGCGCTGTGTTAGAGGGGACACAGAGCAGTGCCTAGCGGGAGGAGAGAAACCAGGCATGCACCGCAATTTCAGCCGAAAGATGGCACTTTCGGCATTTTGCCAAAAGTGCAATTTTCAGCCGATATGTTTTGGCAGCCGACATTTCGGTGCATCCCTAACTGAGACCACCATTGAATGTTGGCTTTTTCTGTCTTAACTACACTCTCCAGTAACTCTTCTCTGCCAGTCTAGCATGGCAAAAAACTTGGCACCTCCAGGTACAACAGAGGCATCCACTCTAGGGAAGAACTCACACAAAAGCGCTACTTCCTGCCATTAGTCTAAGTACTGTCAACTCTGGGAGCTGGGCACAGATAAAAAGCTATGTTTACTGCATATTGATTATAGTGTGTATGTATATGTATTTCTTTAATGCAGGCTGCACAAACATGGCAACAGTTAATAAACACAAAGCAAGAAGAAGGAATCGACAAGAGCGAGCTTTACAAGTTATGGAGACAGATGACTCAACTGCTGGCAGAGAACATAGAGCTCCAAGACAATGAGAGCCAGCAGCAGGTAAACAATGATACTGAAATATTTCATTATTGTGCATGTGAGGGCTCCCAGCGTGGCCACATAATGCATAGTGTGCTCATATGTGCAAATGCTCAGGAATAACTTGAACCCTTACAACTTTTTTTTATTTTTAGCCCTAGACACAAACGAGCAGTTAACCCGTGCAGTGCAGGGATAGCCCCACCTCAAGAGTTAATAATATTTTTGCCCAAAGTTCAGCTTTAATTTCCTATTTATAAAGTTGCAAGAATGGGAAATAACAGGTACAAAAAGTAAATACCGTCATGTCCAGCAACGAGGCACATAAGCCAAAACAGTAAACATAGCACTATATACCAGACCAATGGCCGCAAGAATAGTTGGTATACAAGACAATAAAATGTCAAACTGCTTTCCTAAACCCATCCCGCAAACATTTCACATAAAAGAAAGAGAACTAGGACCACAGATCCATCCCAGTCATCAGTGTGAAAAAAGGTATGTGAAAAAAACCTGCTTGCCTTACTTTTTGTTAAAACATAGCAAAAAAAAAATGCCAGTACAGTAAACGATAACAAAAAAACCCAAAATGATCCCTTTGGAAAGTAGACGCCCCAAGGTGATCTCATGTTTTGCCACAATTGTTTGGAAATAAAGAAACATGCTGATATTGAGGGGGGTTAGTCATGGAGCTTGGTAATGATGTGCTAGATACATTAAAAGTACAGGTTAAACACAGAGGGAGGAAGAGGTGAAGGGCTAAATGTACAGGTCACATACAGTGGGAGGAGGGTGATGAAGGGGTTAATGTATAGATTTTTAGGATAAGGGAGGTGAAGGGCTCAATATACAGGCCAGAGCAGAGACAGAATGAAGCTGACATATACTGTAGAGAGGTGGGGGGTGAAAGTATTTTGTGATGCTGCAGCAGCTTGTTTACAACGAGAACTAATGAATGAATTACTCATCCACTCAATTGTTACTTTCCTCTTCTTTCCTCTTTTGTAAGATGAAGGCAAGGGCTTGGCAATGTAAACCTTGTCATGTGATCGCTGTGGTAACCAATCACATTGATCACAAGGCACGGAGCAGGTCCAATCGGCTTTGTGCTTATAGCCTTTTGCGCTTCATCGTTTAATGACACAGGGGGAGGAATGGCTTGTGTGCGCGCTGCAGGTGTGGAAGGATGTAAGGGTACGTCTTCCCGGGACAGTAGGACAGCGGACATGCCGTTTACATGCAGTGGCTGGTCTGCAGGTGGCTAGACAAGTCGCTTGTGTAGCCAAAAAATGTTTTCTTTAGTTTTTGATGGAGTTGGGAGGGGTTACAACTTCTGTAAGATTTTTTTTTTATCTGTCTGTGTCCTTGCTGGGGAGATTGACCCTCTGTATTTTGTCCTGGTCACCGTTGTCACAGAGACAAAAAATGATGAAAACCCAAAATGTTCTCACGAGAACAGGTGTGCCCATTGGCTAGTCTTTGGTGACAGCTGTCATAGAGGGGAATTTCCCTTCCTATGTGGGGGATTTCCTCTCACTTCCTGTTGCAGTTACAGGGTAGGAAGTCAGGGAATATCAATGGGACACAGGCAGCAAAATTAAATCAATTAGGGTTTTAACGCTTCCCTACTCTATCCAAAACAGAAGATAAGTTTGGCTGTACGTACACTTTAAAAGTAAACTATAACCAAACTTTTTTTTGGCAATAGTTTCTTTTGAGTCACAGGAGGACATTCACTAATGCCCTCCTGTGACCCAAACTAAGCATATAGAGGGCTACTGCCCACTATATGCTAACAGCACAGAGTCATGCTGCAGCCGGTAAAGATGCTGGCAATATTGTCAGGATCTACCTGCTACCTGACTGATTGGTGGGGGGGGGGGGGAATCCCTATGGGGAGGGGTGACTGACAGTACCACTCTCTGTAGGCAGAAGTCGTGAGCTGATTGATCAGTGGTTTGTGATCGGTCAGTTCTTTATCTATAGAACCTGTGTGTGACAGATGCTGTGTCACATGCTGGCCCAAGCGATTGGGAAGCGTATATTTTACTCTCCCAATAGTTCTCCTTTAAAAGTATAGTAAATGATCGGTTGGTTTAGATTTTGCATGGGTGGGAAGCAATTGCAATGTCAAGTTATTTCTGATTTGTTAAGTCGCTCTATGCACTTAGGGCTTGAGTACGCAGGCATTTGTTAGGGTCAGCATTGTTTAAACCCACACAAGTAATTGGGAATGCAAAAGCAGCTTCAAACAGGTTGGAGGGACCTCTAAAGGATCTCAAAATTGTACTAAAAGCATCATAATCTCAAATGTAAGCCGCATGCCACCTTAATTTTCCTGCCTACACAAGCACTTAACTTTTTATGACCAGATGTCATTGAAGCCTAGATGCCAGACCAAATGTAGCAGCATTACTAGGCATCAGTTAACTTCTCAATAACCTTTTTATTTGGCACACTGTTTTAATAAATATTCTTTTTTTTTTTTTATTGTGAACTGATAAATGGACACAAATGTTTTAGAAATGAATTCTTCATTATTTTGTACACTGTAATGTATTGTTTTAAATCAATTCTCTAACTTGTGTTTAATGTTTCACAGACCATGAGTACAGTAGTGGCTGATGGGTATTCTCTATCTATAACTTAGAACACTGCAGAATTGCAAATTACCCCAGTTAGTTCATTCATTAGTATGACATTGCTTTTACTGGGGTGAAGGTGTGCCATTACCCACCAACTGGGTGGGTGCCACCACTGCCACTGCCATGAAGCCATCTCATTCAGTCCACCAATGTCAATTGGTGGACTGAATGGGATGGCTTTATGGCAGTGTCAAAGGTGTCAGAGTGGTAAGCAATTGTTACATTCCATCTTTAAACAGTAACAAGAATGGGGGGTTAGAACTTCTGTTAGGATTTCATTGCTAACATTCAACATCCTGTCATGCTCCAAATCAATGTAGTAGGGTGCCTGGCCAATGGTGGCACGGTATAAATCGAAAGTAGTGTAACTATACATCATTAGAATTTCGTACAAATGAAATCGATTTCCGAACATTCGACTTTCTAATAGTTCATGGGGTCAAAGCAATTATCATTTTTTTTGCCAAAATAATTCGAAGGAGAATGTTGGAAATTTTTTCTTGATCAAGCAAAATTTAAACAGTGAATGTGTTTTTTTTGTTTTGTTTGGGAAACTCCATTATTTCCAAAATCGAATGTTAAATCAAAACGAAAATCAAACAAACTTTTGAACAACATTCGTTAAGTGTCTGATGGCATTATCGAAGGCTGCGATAATATTTTTCATATGAACGTTTGTTGAAAAATCTACCAGTGTACACCCTACTTAAAGCAGAAATGGCCAACACTCCTTAAGCATTATGGGGGAATTTAGCAAACTGAAGCAGAGAGAGTCTGGAACAGTTGTCCACGGCATTCAATCAGCTTCTCTCTTAAGGTGCCCATACACTTTACAACCCTTGCAAGACTTTTGTCTTGCGAGGATTGTAAAGTACTTAAAAAAACGTACGATCTGCCCATCTTGGACAGGCAGATCGTACTTGCGATCATCGCAAACCCGCCCCCTGAGGGGCGGGCTTACGATGACTGCAATGAGGGCCGGGCTTACAATGACTGCAAACGGGCTGTGTGCGCGTGCGCACACCGGCCCGTTCGGCAGTTGTCGAACCAGCAGGACCCCTAACTCGCCGAGAATCGTACGATTCCCGGCGGGTTTTCTAGCCTGCTGGTTCGACGGAAGACGTGCGACCGTACAGTAGAAACGGTCGCACGCCTTCCATACACTGCACGATTCTCGTACGATCGCGGGATTTCCCGCGATTCTCGTACGAGAATCGTGCAGTGTATGGGCACCTTAAGTTTGTTCAGTTAAGACCTGAAACAAAAAATAGATATAAGTTTTGATAAATGATCCTCTGTTTTATTAGCATATATTTGCAATCTTTTTTTATGTAGCACAATATTTTGCGCATATATTTACCAAACCAACATTTTTACGATTTAAAATACACTATTTTACTGCTCATCAATTTAGTGTTAACAGTCATTGATGGCACTAGAATTAATGTTTTCACTCCGACATTCATGGTGACATGTAACATTTGTTGTACAGTCGTCGTTTTTGCACCTAGGTGCACCCGACGTGTATTTTGCATTTGTGTGGGGGTGGGAGATTTTAAAAACTTTTTTTTTTGCGTTTTATTTTTTTTTGTGGGACTTATATTTTTGAAGTTATTTTTTTTATACTTAACAGTTTTGGGGTTTTGACAGGAAAGTGCGGCTTTCGCATTGTATTTTCTGTAAATATATGTTACTAACGCCTTTGCTTTTAATAAAGACAGGCAAGGGCGTAACTAGAAATCACAGGGCCCCATAGCAAAATTTTGGATGGGGCACCGTGATTTCTAGTTATACCCCTTGCAGAGCCCACTCGAGATCCCACCTGAGGGTGGACCTGCAGAGCCCACCATAGACTCTCTATGGTGGGCTCTGCAGGTTTACCCTCAGATGGGCTGGTCGCACTCCTTACCTGTCTGCCTCCTCTTTGTCCACGGTCGCTGATGGGCCCCGCCTCCTCCGTCGCCAGGCCCACCTCCTTCGTCACCGGGCACCGCCTCCTTCCATGCTGCCGACCACGGGCCCCGCCTCCTCCTCCTCTGCCGGTAAACCAAGTCCGGCCTGCTCCACCGCCGCGCCTGGCTCTCATTGAACGCGCTGCTGCACAGATTACGGTGAAAGCCACCAGCAGAGCATCCCATAGCGACCCAGGCGGCCCGCACGGCATCTGGCTGGGCGTCACTGTGCCCCGGGCCCCATAGCGGCCACCTGGGTCGCTATGGTGATTGTTACGCCACTGCAGACAGGGTTTTTTACAAAAGGGTGAGGATTTTGAAGGCAGGAGAAGTGAACAATCTAGGAGAACATAGCTAGACGAGAAAGTGAGTTGAATAGGAGAGTTTTTCCAGCATGTTATCCTCTATTTTTTCCTTATCCTACCTTCTCCAACCTCTTCACCCTTTAGTGAATAACCCTGATAGTCTTTAAGGAGTGTTGGCTATTTCTGCTTAAGGGCGGTTGGTGGATCAGCGTGGTTACTGTGCTGATCTCAAAAGGGAGGTTTTGGAAGCTTTAAAATTGCATCCAGCTCTGAAACGCAATTAAAAACGCCGAAAACCGCGCTGATCAGTGCGGATCCATTGAAACCTGTATGGAAACTGCATGTCGGCGGATCCATGCAGCCGAATCCGCGCGGCTGAACTGCCCCAGTGTGAACGGGGTCTTATGTGTTTATTGCTCTCTGTGGTCTCATTAGGGAGAGTCACTGTTTGTTACTGCTAAGCTGTCTGGCTGTAGGGTGATAATACAATCACTAACCTGTAGTAAGAATTCAGAAAAAAAGAGGCTCCGCTCCCTTAAATGTAATGTTCCCATGCATGAGACATTGGGGCATGGCGGTGGCTGCACTGTTCTGACAAGGGCTTCTGCACACATTGACCGCATACCGTCCCCTGCTAACCTGCCATTAGTGGAAAGTAAGTTCAAGTACGCAGTAATAAATACATTTTATCATGTAATTTGGCAATATAGTCTGTATATGGCATCCAGGGCTTCCACATCATGCCTACAATTATTTGTAGAAATTTTTATTTAGATAATTCCCATGGGTACTGTGTTTTTATGGCTTGCTGTTAGAGTCCATAATGCACACTTTAAAATAAATTATAGTTAAGTGTACTTTATTTTTTGATTGATTTTAAGATAATATGCAACTTGCTTTTATTCTAGCTCTTAAATGCATTTGGAAATGCCATTTCCTACTTGGAAGAGGTACCAGGAGATGAACACCGTGTACTTTATCAGGACTTTGTTCTCTGCTTGTCTAAGGTACATTGTATATTACTTTGTATTTGTCTATGTTGTCACTTAATATATGCGATTTAATAACCTGATTCATTTCATCATGTTGTTTCATTGAATTGAGAGGATCCATGTAAGCAGACATGGGCATCTTATGGGGATAACTCCTAATTGTGGTTCTTCTGTAGGCAAATCAAAGCCACATTTTTTTAAAGGAGTAGAGAGGAATTAGAAGACTTCTGAGGTTTTTAATGTTGTCTGTGTCTCCATTAGGGAGATTCAACCTCTCCATTTGTCCTTGTGAAGCTGGCCATACGCCTATAGATTATCTGCAGATTTTCTATGGCCAGATGGAAAAAGTGCAACAGATTCCTCCATCTACGCTAAACTGTTTGGATGGAGGAATCTCCCACTGGGCCAAGCTTCAGTATCTTGCTAGTCGGCCTCGTTGGCTCTCAAACTACCTTAACAATCTGATTGGATGCAGGCATTATTCAGGTATTTTGAGAGCCTGCGGCGCCAACTAGAAGGATACTAAAGCTTGGCCCAGTGGGAGATTCCTCCATCCACACAGTTTACCGTAGATGGAGGAATCTGTTGCACTTTTTCCATCTGACCATAGAAAATCTGATAATCAGATAATTGTAAGGTGTATGGCCAGCTTTATCGATGTGAAAGTTAAAGACATTTCCAAATTTTGGGTTGTCAGAACAGCAATACATGGGAAATGTTCCAATGGGGACACTAGTTCCAGTGACCCTACTGACCACCAGGAATTTCCCTCACTTTGGAGGGATTTCTTCTTACTTCCTGTTGTGGCTATTGGACAGGAAGGGAATTCTCCCCAATAGGACACAGATGACAGAAAAGCTGATGGTGGTTATAAGCCTCCTTTACTCTTTCCAAAATGAAATAAAATGTTTTAGCTTCAGTTCTACTTTAAGAAGAACTGGGCTATGCTGTCCACAGACTGGAGTGTCTTCACTATACATTGTAATTATACTAGGTGAACAATATGTACAAATTTGACTGGTCCTGCCCTGAATTAACCAGGTTGGGACAAATCTAAATGTATTGCCCTTTCTGAACTTCCATATCGTGTAGCACCTTTACTACATACATGGGCAGAGACACTTGTTTGACTGGATTATTCATTCCACATAAGCTGGGGGGTTATAATCTGGGGGGAAAATCATGTGTTTTTCATACATGTGCTGAAGATAACTAACAAACTGTGGATAAACCAACCATACTTGGCTTATGCGGTGTATAAGCACCTGTATAGTCTCCTCTTGCAATGTGAAAAATTATAGAGCTGTTTTTTTCCCCCCGTTTTTTTTTACAAGCTGCCACATGAAGAAGCCAAGTTAAAAGAGATATGTACCAACATGGCAGCAGTTTACCCTACCCTCACCTATCCTCTGGAAGTCCTTAGCTTGCACTTCATTAAGTCCGGTAAGCAATCCTTTCATTGTCGGTGGGTTCCCAGTTTTGTCACTGCTGTGAAGCTAATAGGCACGCCTCCTTCCTCAGAACCAAATTGGTTTTTTAAGGCTTGTTACGATGCAAATCATTGTCAGTGGCACCCTAAATGCACTAAGGCAATGGACGTGCGTTTGCGAAACTTTTTAATGCAGTTCCATGCGCTGTGGTGCTCCACATAACAAAAGCAAGTGTTTCGGTTTTTTTTGTCTGCTCTGGTGAAAGATGAATTCAAATGAATGATGTGTTAATACGCGATATAATGATTGTGCAACTCACCAGAACAAAAAGATTTAAAGGGGTTCTAAAAAAAAGGTATGCATGCAATAACTGGATCGGTCTGCCTTTTCATTAATCCCATGATTTGCCCGGTCTTGAAATAAACTCTGCACCCCCAGCATGCTTTTAAACATACTGAACATCAAGTGTACCTCACAAAAGCTCAACCTGTGAGCATAGTAAATAGGATTAGTACTAGACCATTTATTATATTGCCTCATAGCTATCTTTGCCTTATGACTTCTACTTTACCACACCGAACACTGTCTTCATGTTTCTGGTCCCCCAGTGACAAAACGCCCCGTAGGACACAGTGCATAACAGTGAACCAGGAACAGACTTGCAAGTGACAGCCAGTGACATATCTCACTCTCTGCCCACTCCACTCCAGCACATACTGCACACCATCATACCTTTTGCACGCCTCTCATGCACATACTGCTACCTGCAATACTCTCTGCACTCCTCTCCTGCACATAATGCCCACCATCATAACCTCTGCAATCCTTTCCTGCACATACTGACTGCCCACCGCCATAACTGCCACATTATGCCCCTACACATCTCACCCACTAAATCAGTTCTTCAACATTTTTCCTAATATCCCCAACCTTGCCCATTCTAAAATGCTTGCACTTTTGCTAGTTTTATGTAAAAAATACATTTTATTTACTTTTAATGACTGCAAAATTAAAGAGGTTTTCACATCTGCCTCTTGACCAGCTTTAAAAATTAGTAACAATTACTTATAATGCAATTTTTTTACCCATTTTGTGTGCATTCATAAATTATATTTAAAGATTACAGTTAATAGTCCAAAAGTTGATAAGAAATTGTAATCAATGTACATGTTGCTTTGACACAGGGGACGTTAGTGAAGAAGCTGTCCAGTGTTACAACAGGCTTGTGCAGTTGGACAATTCCAATGGATCTGGCCTCATTGGAATGGGAATCACAGCCCTGAATGATAAAAAGTATGATCTGGCAGTAGAGAAATTGTCTACAGGTAAAAGACATGTTGACATCTTTTCTTGTATATAGAGACTAGTATCAACCATACTTAGTAGGATCCGTGATGTAATAATCAATGCATTCTGATTAAATTGGCAAATTCACTTTTCACAAATGATACTCTCTGGCTGAGAGTGCATGCTCATGCCACAATACTCATTCTGTTTCTCTAGTGTGTTGGGTAAGGCTGCAGTGGACTCGGTAAGTACAAGTTGTGTGAACCCCAGTTTTGTTGAAAGTGGCCTTTCCAGGACCATTGTGCTTTATCACAATTTGACCATTCTTCTCATTATTTGAATCCAACGCCTCATCTCAACTTGTTCCAGGAAGAAAATGATAGCTTCTCATCAAGTATCCTGTATCCCCTGATTCAGTTTAAATGCACTCAGTGTAGACATGCAGAGTACATTTTCTGTGTTGCTGAAACCCATCCTGCTTATATTCTTTTGAAACATGTTTTTGTTGGTTTGTAGGAGTACATAAAGTGAGTTCATGCCCCCATGCATGGTTCTTTCTGGCTCGGGCTCAGCAGAAATTACACAGACATGAAGAGGCTGTTCTATCCTGTGAACAAAGTAAACCTTGAATTTTGAGCATACTGTAGTGACATTGTGTCTTTTAGCATTTACTTACAATAGAATTGTTTTTTTTTTTCTACGTTTAGTCATTAAGGCTTTGTCACATGATAACCTATCACCCAGAGACTCTGAGCATAAGAATATGGCACTGCAGCTGAAAGCTGAAGCAATGCTGGAGTACTGTGATCCGGAAGAGATCCTGAAAACTATTGAACAGGTGGGTAAAGTACTGTGAGTATGAACCAACTGCAGTGGTGGCAAGTTGTGATTTTAGGGGGAAAAGTCAGCATTTGCATATAACTAAAACTGTTTAAACCTCTGGATTACCTGTTCATTTTGAAATGCATATGCTCAGTTTTAAATGCCCTAATAACATATTTATTTTAAGCTGAAAGGGGATATAAGATGTATCACGTACTAGTGATCCATCTCTTGTTATATTCATTTTTGGTGTGTGAGAGACAATATTAAGTTAATTGTGATATTTCTGCTGCTAAATTCTGGGGGAAAAAAAATAAAGAAGGCATACTGCCTGTCCACCAATCTATAGAGAAAATGTAAATACTCCCAGGTATTTAAGGTGCAGCAATAGTTTGGGAGTGATCGCTTGAAAGCTCTGACAGATGTAATTATACCGTGTTTTCCCGAAAATAAGACAGTCTTATATTTTTTTTGCCTCAAAAAAACACAATAGGTCTTATTTTTGGGGTAGGTCTTTTTTTTAAAATGTGCAACAATCCACACTTATTCATGTACAACAGTCTACATGTATTCATGTACAAAAATATGGTGATCAGGGGTCCCGTACCTTTCCAAGAGCAATTTGCAAACCAATCACTGGCCAGAATGAGTGAAGCGCACTTTCACTATCGATTCCTCACAGGCAGAGTGCATTTGGTATCACTCCGCCTGTGACAGGAGTCGGCGCTATAGAGTCAGCGCTCCCTCTGGTGCTGCCTCGCTTCCTCTAGCGCTGGCTTCGTTGGCACCGCTGATTCTCTCCCCCCTCTCTTCAAGTTCCCCCTTATGCCACCACCGGCCCTGGGAATGGCTACAACTAGGTCTTATTTGACAGCCAGCACTTCTCCTGCCAATTCGGTAAATAATACTGCTTCCAATGACCAACTATGAGCAGCAAGAGGGTACACAGGGGAATATGGACCATAAAGCGGCACACTGATTATCATGAAATGCGATTATATCTGTTTTTGTTTTTTTATATATTTTCCCTATATATAGTATAAAATAAAAGCCCAGTGATTATTAAATGCTGACAAAAGAAAGCTCTTTCTGTCTCCAAAGAATCTACTTTCACGTTGTCAGTTCAGAGATGACACATACATGTAAATATAAAATTAATTTGGGTACAGTGTTGCATGACTGAGTAATTGTCGGAGTAATTCACAGCACTGGAAGCAGAAAAATGGCCTGGTAATGAAGGGTATTACACGCTGGTACTCGAGAATAAATCTGCAGGTAAACGGAAAGCCCCTATACAAATCCCATTTTTTCTTCTTTTTTCCCCCCCTAGATTTCTAATAAGGACGGTGACCCGGCTCTCACTGCCCTGAAAGGCAAGGTGTATTTAAAGCAGGGATTTTTGGAACGAGCATCTAAGGTAATGTCTCTGTCTACTTAATGCAATGCATAAACCTGACTCCTTGTCAAAACTAGGTTGACTGTATTTTTATGTAAATGAGTTAGATTACACATTTTTCTTTCTTAAAGGCAATATGTAGTCTTTTTAGAAATGTTGTTGTTAATATTGCAAAATAAATCAGCTTATTTTTCATTGACTAATCTGCAAAATATCACATTCAAGAAATCTCTTCTAAGAGAAGGTAACTTGCTATTGCTGATGTTCTTCTGAAAATTCTGGTTGCCAGCTCACTCTGGCTTAAAAAAGAACTATGGGGTATTGACTGACAGTCACCACTCTCTGCAGGGAGATGATCGGGAAGTGAGCGAGCGACGTTATGTGTTTGCTCAGTTCCCGATCAATAGAGCTGACGTGAAAATCATTCGCCTCATAGTTCTCCTTTAAGTACTTTGAGCCACTGGCCTAGAACATGTGTGCAGATCAGGAAGGTCAGAGGGAAGTCCTATCTAAACACTTGTTCCAGGTTAGTGACCCGAAGCAGAGGTTTTAGAAGCAGAGGTTGTCATGATTACACAGACCTCAGTTCCCAGTCTGTGCGGATATTTTCCTGCTCTGGGACAACAATCTAAGCACCAGCAGATTTCGGCCCCATTCACACTGAGCGATTCGCAAATCGCGCGGTTTGTCGTGCGATTTGCATTTTGCGCGATATCGCGCAAATGGTTGCATTGAGCAAACTAGAATCGCGGCAAAATCCGCTCCAAAAAGGGTCCTGCTGTTGCGACCCACGACAGCGACGGACAGAGCCCCATTGCCATGCATTGGAGAGCGATATCGCGCGGTAAATATCCGCGATAAATCGCTCAGTGTGAATGGGGCCTAAGAGTGATTACAACTGGAGCAGGGTACTGAGCAGTTAAACTAAACCTTTACACACAGTAGTCACCACCATGTGTTTTACCAGAAACATGTGCCATTCACAGCATTTGCTGTTGCATGTCCTTAACACTCACTGCCATTCCCAGACAGGATTGTAACAGTTTTTAACCACAATATCCCTTTAACCCTTTCGCTGCCAAGGACGTACGGCATACGGAGCTACAAAAGTGCTTCCAGCTGGCCAGCTCAGTATGCCGTACGGACCTGGCATTTACAGTTCTACTATAAGCTGATGGTCGCTTTAGCGACCATCAGCTTATAGTTTGAACTGTTCAGATTTGAAAAATGTTCCGGAGGGCTTGGCAGCGAAAGGGTTAATGAGGCAAAGGTCCTAATTAAAGCATCCCGAGATTCAGCCTAACAATTTTTTAAAATGGTATCCTTGTAATATAGGCATGTTTGCTTTCTAACATTGCATCTTTCTATACATTAGTGTGTCACTTTTTTTAAAGGTAACTTAGTTACCACTGGAGATGGACCCGGTTCACACTTGCGCATTCCGTGAATGCGAGACAAAGCGTGCAGAAACGTGTGCTTAATGGCAAAACACGCAAAAACAAAAAAGCCAAACGTGAAAAATGCTACATGAGCTTGTTTGCCGCGTGTCTATCAACCTAGGGAAATCAATGGGGAAACTCGGCAAACGTGGCACGCAAATGTACATGAACACGTGTGAATGGGACGCACGTTCCGCGATGTGCAGCTGTGAACCGGGCCTTATGGAATATGAACCTGAGTTGAGAGCTTGAGTTCAAAATCCAGACACACATCCTGTATTGCTCAGTAGATGGTTGAAGACATGACCTCATCAGGAGTCTTTTGATGACCTGCTACTGGAGGTTTATGATATTGTTGATTTGCTTCTATCTTGGACTGTTTTGGGGGGTTTATAACACATCTGCTTTTTTTTCGAATGTGTCTTTTTTGCTGGCTGTTTTACATTAAATGTGTCGCCTTCCATGAACGCCTAGCAAAGACATAAGATTTAAATCTGACCATGTTTGTTAACAACCTGTGACTTTTGGGTAATATGAGAGTGCCACTGTGCTAAGTACGATGACTCTATTCTCTCCACACAGTTTGGGGTTTGTCAGACCTCATTATCATTACAGAGGTTACCAATGTCAAGCTGCAGAATAGTTTTTCTGTAATACAGTAAAAACAAGCTTGTTAAAAAAGTTTTTAGTCGGGGGGGGGGGCGAAAAACGAGCACATATAGACGATCGGCGGGCTATGGACCCTCCGATCCTCTATATGTTTAGCACCCGGTAACGGGTGTTTGCTTTGGTCGGGTCTTTTCTGCCCGTGCGTGCCCGCTAGGGGGCGCGCGCGAGCAGAAAAAAAATGCTGTCTGGCGACGGCAACCCGCCAATGCAGCAGTGCCGTCCGTTCGTTTTTTACAACGGGCGGACGGCAAGTGGTTAAAGCAGAACTGTGACCAAGCTATGGACATTCAGTGTACATATTCTCAACAAGCCGTAAAAGCTTTAAAATAAATCTTTAGCCCCCATTCACACCTAGGCGTTATGTCATGCGACACAAGAAATCCCATTATTTTTAATGGCCCTTGTTCACACCTGAGTAAAATGCCCGTCACTGGAAAAAGTACATTAGCTTCCTTTGGGCAGTTTACAGTGCGTTTGGCCCCATAAACTTCAATGGAAATGCGTGACAAGTGTTTTGCTCATTTCTGTGCTCGTTTTATTGCGCGTTTGTCCATTTACCGCAATGTCTTTCAATCTGCCAGCTAAGATGCACGTCTTCATGTGCACGCATAAAAATGTGCAAAAACACGCTAGATGAAATTGCGCACAAAAACGCTGACATCTAGGTGTGAGTGCAGGCTTAGTAACATTTGTGGCTGCAGACACTGAGAATTGCTGAGAAATTGATCCTCAAAAGTTACATGAGATCCAGTGAAGTTTCTCTTCTCCCTGCGTTTGCATCACAGATTAGAAGGCTGGCACCAACCTGCTGCAAGGAGGGGAGACAAATAAGTCTATTGAGAGCACCTTCACACCAGCAGCATTGCTCAAAGCAAGAGCAAAGGCAGTTTGGCAGTTCTATTATTTCATGTCACTCCAACATACTGTGCTGGTGTGTTCTACAAATAAACAATAGGACATATTTTTACCCAGCTACCAAATATCAAATAAAAGAAAAGCCACATTCCAAACAACAAAATCCCATATGTTTGTATTAAACCTGTATTAAGTCTCTGGTACATAGGCAATCCACCTAAAACCCTTTACTGATGTGTTTTTCTTAAGAGCTTAGTCATAGATTAGTTTTACTCTACTTATAAGCTCTTATTGAATTGTGTCGGAGGAGTAGCTCTGGTGGATTTCCTATGTACCAGGGACTTGTTTAATACAAGCATATGGTTCTCTTTCTGGAGTGTAAATTCTCTAATCTTTTGGTGTTTTGTTTTGTGAGGCTATCGTGAGCTTAGAGCTGGCCCCTGGGACTGAGCATCAAGGGGGATAGGTATTTGGAGCGGAACAAGGAATTGTGTTCACGTATTTTTGTGCAGCGAGTTCTAACGTGCTGTAACACATCACAGCACACTGCAGAGCACATAAAAAACACACCAATGGGGCACTGTGGTGTGAATGAGCCCCAAGTGAAAACAAATATGAAAGTATTTGTACTCAGGATTTTGATGATTATTGCTCAGTGGTATCTGCACATACACAGGTTAGTGAGGGCTTGTTTTAAAGCATCTTACCTGTTTGCATGTCCATACCCTAGCCACAGTTCTATATTAAGGCAAACCCTGCAATAATAGCTCAATATATGAGCTGACTGAAAATATATTATATTTCCCCTTTAAATGAAGATGCATATTAGCCAGAATCTTTTTTTGGGGGTGTGCACTTCCTGCTTTGGAGTCGGTGGGAGCCAGCCTGTGCCTGTGCTTACCCCAATTGACCGCTATGACTAGCTGAGGTGGACAATTGACCGTCAACTGTTTTAGAGTTTTTGCATGTGGTGCCCTGAAATGGTGAGTGTGTTTCAACAATAAAAAATATCAAGGACAGCTCTAGATTTTTAGTCCTGTATTCCTACAAACACTTCGATAGGCTGATTTCTAGCATTGAAATCTCTTTTCAGGATACATTTATAGCACAGTTTGTGGAAAACAGCAAAGTTTCAATGATTGATGGCAGCATAAATGCATTTTCACAATGGGAAGCCAATACAATGGGACACGTGTGAGTCCCATTGTATTGCTTCGTTTTATGAAAATGGAACTATTAACTCTCTTGTGACCAGAGGTTATTAAAGCTTGGATGCTCAGGCCAAATTTACCAGCATCAACATGTGTTGGATAACTTGACAATAACTCTATAACTTATTTGCATACCTAAATAATTATACATATAAGCCTTTTATTTTGGTACACTGTTTTAATAAAAATCCGCTCTGTTTTAAAAAATAATAATTATAGGCTGACAAATGTGCTTAAATGTCAACATGTACTTGTATTGTGGCTTGAATTGTGGCTGGCAATTACAATATAAAACACATGACCAGTGCCACCTCCAGGCTGCAGTGAAATCTCCAGTTTGCATGCGTTCACTGTATCATAGCTGACATTGTGACCTCACGATTGGGAACAACTCTGATTTGGTTCCCGATCATCACTGTTGGCGGAAGGATTCAGTGACTAGTGATCCTTAAAGGAAGGAGGTTTATTAACATATCCCCAGCACAGGACATTGTGCAGAGAAATGTCAGTGTATAGATTGCTGGCGGGAAACTGTTGACCATTAAAGGAAACCATTGTGGTGTTTGCAATTTATGTTTCTACTATCCATTACTTACAGCTGTCGGAAGAACTTGTACAGTCACTGCCTGAGATGGCAGAGGGACATTTTCTGATGGGTCTGATCCATTACACACAGAAGAGCTACAAAGAGGCTGAAAAAAGGTTAGTTACTTCTCTTCCTTGTCCTGGAAGAACGCCCTTCAGATCAGCTCTCTCCTTTAACAATGGTTCTTCCTGACCCCATAAGGCAATCAGATATTCCCTGGATCAACAATCTCAATGATGAAAAAAAATGAGGCTTAATATACCTATAAAAACTCAATATCCAGAAATATTCTGTGCATTTCTTTTTTTTTTATAAAAAGGATTTTAAGGAACAAATTACAGAGAAGTAGGGATAACAACGTAGCAAATAACAAAGGAAAAAGAAGGTCCCACTATGTAGGGGTCCAGGAAATAGTAAACAATACAACACCATGTAGCAGTCCTGAAGGTACAAGGAAATAGATTCATTGTATTTTCACGTCATGAATAAGGGTAACACCAGTATGTTGAGGTAAGTATAATGAAGACCATCGGATCTGCCCCACGCTGGAAGAGGAAATCAGGGTTACAGAGAGAAGAAATGTGGAGAAGCAAAAAGAAAGGGAGGTTCCACAAGGAAAGGTCCCACGACCTACCTGGTCACCTCCCGCAACAGGCTGCTATATACAGAGGAGAGTGTGAATTCTCGCCAATAAAAGCATTTAGTGCAATGCTGGGCGTGCGTGCCCCTGTCAAAGGAGATCAAATCATAGAAGCAGTGATGTGACTGGCTTGAGAAAGGGTCATAAATAGTTATTTAACTTGTCTGTGAAGAGTTTAATTTATCCAGGTCATGCTACAGCCAGTAGTAGTCACATTCAACTGGGCTTCTTTTATAAAGTCAGTCATTTAATTTTTTGACTGAAATACATTAGTTAAAAATGTAAAACAAGCTTATCCCCGATGGGGGAGTTTAGAAGCTGGGCTAATTGCCCCAATGTGTTTTCATTGTATACTCTTATGAAATATATTTAGAAAGCCAAAGTCTGCGACAGCAAACTCTGCATGTCACAGCTCTGTCAAGGTAATCGTGGGGACGACTCAATAAAAGGTTGATTCATGCCTTACCTCACCCAAACAAAAAATAATAGCGACCAATCAGAAATCATCTTTTTAGGTATTATGACTGGACTCGAAATCTGATGCAAGAACCTTTTCAAACCTTGGCTGCGCAGCCTTCGTTTTGAATAGCCGCATACACAATGAATGCCGTCCAACACGTCTGGTGATTGTGTATATTTTTTAGCATGATTATAAATCCAGTCTGGTCATGCAGGTGCAGAATGTCCCATGCTGACAGGAAGATTGTTTTTTTTTGTGTGAAGCTGTGTAACGCATGTATAATTTTTATATTGTGTTTCAGTTTTCTGAGTGCCATTGAAAGAAATCTGGAGGTTGGAAACTATTATTACTATTTAGGACTCACTCACTGGTTTATGAGTGAAGAAACCAAGAGAGACAAAACAAAAGCTGTTACGCAGTTTTTAAAGGTAATTAAATATTTTAGGTTTTTTTAGGGGGGGTGGGGGGGATTTTGTGCAGGTGCGGATTGATAGGCTCTCATAACTCTAGTCACAAATTAAGAAATAAAGATCCATTTGTGGTCACTCACCTTTCCTTTTCCTCTGCATGTCATAGGTGAGCAGCCCTGAACCCTGTTTTTTGAATGGTTGCATGATGCAATAGAAGATTTCCTTTGTTTCATTTTTGTATACTGGTTTTTTACTTACACATAATGTAATAAAATATTTTTTAAACCCGGTTCACACCGCACTTGGTCCCATTCCAATCTGGTCGACCTTCCAGAGCAGCATGGTTGCACAGCTTGCCGCCCCCCCCTACTGTCCGACCACACTGCTAGTAAAGACATGAATAGTGTGATGGTAGCTAAACAGGGGAGCAGACACCGATGTCGTTCTTATGTACAAGAACATTGACACCAGACTGAAAGGGAGGAAAAAATCTTTAAAAGGCCACCAACGACAATAGCAAGCTGACAGGGGTTCTAGTCTTGCCCTACTCCAAAAAAAGTATTTTTAATTTTTCTCTGTTTCTGTTGAAGATTTTTGCTTTCTGCTGAAACCATTGTCACTGGGACAGCAAGTGAGAAAAATATTTTTCATGCAGCCCGAGATAACAGTAAAACCTAAGAAGGGTTCTACTCTTTCCCCACTCTATCGCCCAAAAAAATAAAAATGTTTTAGCTGGACATACTCATTAATTATCTTTGGCATGGGAAACTACAGAAAGATTTTTGTTTAGACAAAAACTCCTAAAGCATTACATGACACATATCCCCATGTTGACTTTCCTAGGCAGACTGAGATGATTCATTTGTAGTATGGCTGTATGTTTACTGTATGTTTGTTTTCTATTATAATTGTGATTAAAACAATTTGATTTGTTTGTTATTCTTATTGATACCATGGATCTGCAGGCTGCAAAACTGGATCCTTGTTATTCCAAAGTATTTTGCTACTTGGGACATTACTACAAAGAAGTAGCTGGTGACAAAGGCCGGGCACGAGGATGTTATAAGAAGGCATTTGACCTAGATTGGAGAGACGGAGAATCGGGAGCAGCAGCTGTGGACCTAAGTATGGAGCTTGGTGACATGGTAATTACCCCTACTGATTTCTCCAATTAAAACTATGGTACTTTTGGGGCACAGTAAATCTTTGCTTTACAAGTAAACTTTTAATACAGGGTACACTTACAACACAAGATTCACAAAGCATGATGGGTTTTCTAAAAAGGGAGAAGCTGCTTCCCACCAGGCATGATTTTTCTGAATGAATCTTCCATCAAAGGGAAGGGGGAAGGAGTCACTGCTCTCACTCATTCAGTTGTGTGTGTAAATTTTAGCTTGAGCTACTGAGTTCTGTAAACAACTTAGATGTGAAAAGGCCAGGGCTCTCCAGGTATTTTGTACCCAGACAGGTTTAAAGTTTAGCATCGCTCTATGTCTCTTTTCTATAGTTAGATAAAAGTTAACAAATTTGTGGGTACCCTTCCACGAAAAAAGAAGAACCCTCAATTTTCTCTGAATAATTTGAAACTGACGAAATTAAATGGAAACCCTCATTGTTTGTTCTATATTTAATAAAAATCAGACTTTTTTACTTTTTATTCAACAGAATATTTTAAATAATTAAACAAGAAAATGTCATGGACAAAAATGATGGGACCTTTTAACCTAATTTTTTTTTGCAGAACTTTTAAAGGTAATCATTGCAAATAAGTGATTTCTGTAGCTCTCCGTTTGGCTCACTCTACTTGAGCAAACTGCTACAGCTGTCTCAGGCTTGAAGGGTGCCTTCTCCACAATGCATGTTTTAGGTCGTTCCATAGATGTTCAGTAGTGTTCATATCGGGAATCGGGGAAAAATCGCTAGTTTTGTTTCATTTGTCCAAAAGACATTCTCCTAGAAGCATTTTGGCTTATCAACATGCATTTTAGCAAATTCCAATCTGGCTTTTTTGTTTTTCAACGGTGGAGTCCTCCTGGGTCATCTCCCTTTGAGGCCACTGTTAACGGAGGGTGCGATCAGACACTGATGCACCATGACCTTAGAGTTTAGCTTGTATCTATTTGGAAGATTACCTTGTCTTTTTGTCTAGCATTCACACTATCCTCAAACCTAGCTGCAGTAGGCCATTGAAGCAATATCTTAGTTTCCAGGTCGGTGCTCCATGGCAGAGTGCCAGGGACCGCCACTTTAGACCTTAGCCTACGCTCCTCAGAACCCTTCCTTCTCCTCTCGGACATCCCGCCATTCCTCCTTTTTTAACCAGAGAGGTATTTACAGGATACATGGGGAACCCATGGGGAAAGTCAGGATTCTTTGCTGGAAGGCCAGTCGGACGCAATCTATCTCAAGCTTAATGACGCACACTGTATAATCGCGGGTGTGAATGGAGGCTTAAAGTGACATTAAACCCTCAGATTTTTAAACATAAAACAATACTGTAATGTGTGCCTTACTGTAATCCATGGTTGTTTCCTTTCTCTTTGCTGCTCTTCCTTTTAAATCCTCATGTCTTCTCATGCTGGGGGAGAACTTCCCTTTGCAGCTGAGTGCCTCTTCCTGTAGTGCTGGCTCAGGTTGTGAACCTTCACACAGACACCATGTATCCATTTTAGAGACAAGGCAGTCTGCTGCAAAACAGAAGTTCTGCCCAGCCCAGTTCTGCCCAGCATGAGAACAGATACAGATTTAAAAGGAAGAGCAGCAAAGAGAAGGGAAACAACCATGGATTACAGTAAGGAACACATTACAGTATTGTTTTATGTTAAAAAATCTGAGGGTTTAATGTCACTTTAAAGAAGAAGAGTTGGGAGACTTTAAAAATGTTAAGGTGGGCGGAAAGCACAGACAGATGCCATGTCAAGTATATCTCTCAACTGAAACACCAAAGGATATAACAGAATATTGTTGTTTGTTATGAGTTAATTTACTTTGTCAAGGCACTTTGTCTTATTAACTAAGACTGCTGCTCTAAGAATGTGGCTGTATCAGCTGACAGAGCCAAAAAGGGAATAAATGTATTGCTGATGCTCTAGATTTTGCAGCACTTAGCTTTCTGATCATCATATCATGATGAAGCGCCTTGTGAAAATATTTGTAATTAGCTATATGCTAACTGTGTTTTATTTTTGGTTGTACAGTCCTGTAATTTACTAAAAAATGTTGTCTCTGACTCCTAGGACACAGCATTAGCGATTTTATCAGCTGTTACAGAAAAGGCAAGTGCAGGAACTGCAAAATGGGCTTGGCTTAGGCGAGGTCTCTTCTATCTGAGAGCTGGTCAACATTCTAAAGCCGTGTCTGAGTAAGTGTGTTGCCATGTTTACCAAACTTAGCTCGTTCATGGATGAAATTAATTTTTTTCCTCTATAGTGTATGTCCAGCCAAAATATTTTTTAGTGTTAGGTGGAAAAATGTTGAAACACCTGTTAGGTTTTAACTGATATCTGAGAGATTTACCTTACTTACTCCGGTGGCAACGATTTCACTAGACAGTAAGGAAGGAAAAATCTGCAAAAGGGGTACAGACAGCAATAGCTGACAGGAGTTCTAGCCTGCCCCTACTCTGCTTAAATAAAAGCATTTATGTCTGTGTCAAAAGAGCATTTGTGAGGTCAGGTACTGATGTTGGACCAGAACGTCTGGCCCTCAATTGACTTTCCAATAGATCGCACTGCTCATTAGGGTTGAGGTTTAGGGCCCTGCACAGGCCACTTGAGTTTTTCTACACCAGACTTGACAAATCTTGTCTTTTATGCAGCTGTCTTCGTGCACAGGGCACACCCATGCTTAAACAAAATAGGCAAAACAGAGATGTGAGATGATCGGGTTAGGAACACCTCAAAGTGCAGCTATTAAAGAGGGTCGGATATTAAACAAAATAGGCCCTTCCCCCCAACTGTTGTCATAATGCAGGAAACGCCTGAATTCAGTTCTCACCTATCCGCCAACCTTTGGCCATTTAGTTTATAGTTACATGTTTTGCTATAATAAATGTCTTTTGGCCACAGTAGAAATTATTGGCTGCAAGGCCATTGGTCTGATGTGTCAATGCAGAGATGAGCACAACACCATGAAAAACTGTCAAATAACTACACTTCAGCCATATTTCACTGATTTTTGCAAATTACATTTTTACAGACAATAGGCTATGATGGATTGTAGCAACAGGCATATATTTTACTGCAGCAACAGTGTCCTTTTAAAAGCTCCTCACAGCATGTCCAACCTTTTCCAGCTGCTTCAAAGCTTGCGCTCATGCAGGTCTGAATTAATACATTTTATCAGTAAACCTTGTCATTTGTGAGTTGAATCTGGCCCCTAACTGTGTTGTAATTAGTACTCTATGTGTTCAGTGACTCTGCATGGACTCTCAATATGAGCAATCTGCATTCATCAATAAACACCAGCTTTACAATTAGCCATTTGATTATTTTATTGAAATATTGTGAAACACTTCCATCCACTTGTTTTCCTCTTGTTGAACATATAGTTGACACCTCTGTTTTGAATTAGCTTGCATGCTGCACTTAGAGCTGATCCGAAGGACTCCAACTGCTGGGAGTGTTTGGGAGAGGCCTACCTGAGCAGAGGAGGATACACCACTGCACTGAAATCGTTCATGAAAGCCAGTGAACTGAACCCAGACTCCCTGTACAGTACGTACAAGATAGCTTCCATCAAGCAGATCCTGGGGACATATAAAGAGGCTGTATCAGAATACCTGCAAATTGTTAAGAAGTCTGGGGACTATGTGCCTGCACTAAAAGGTATTGCATAGACAATGTTATTACACAATGTGACCTACACACATGGAAAACATTTGTTGGTACCCTTCCATGAAAAAAAAAATATATATTTTAAATAACTTGAAACCAACCAAAGTAAATGGCATTCATCATTGTTTTTGCCATATTTAATTAAATCAGACGTTGGCTTGTTTTTTTAATTTATATTTTAAAAATGAAGGCAAATTAAAATGATATGGACAAAATAATGGGACTGCAAACCAGTAATTTCTGTAACTCTCAGTGGGATTTCTGCACCTGCCAACTGGTAGTTTGGCAAACTGCTCAGGTTTGAAGGGTGCTTTCTCCAGACTGCATGTTTCAGTTGTTTCAGTAGATCTTCAATAGGATTCAGATCAGGGCTCATAGAAGGCCACTTCAGAATAGTTTAATATACTGAGACGGAGCTTTCTGACAGTGGGCAGTATGTTTAGTTCCAGGATTCCTTCATAGCCTTGTGATTTCATTGTGCCCTGCACAGATTCAAGGCTTGCCGTGCTAGATGCAGCAAAGTAGCCCCAAAACATAGCAGGGCCTCCATGTTTCAAAGGTATGGTATTCTATTCTTTGAAACCTAATGTTTTTTTGTCTGTGAACATAGAGCTGATGTGATTTTGCCAGAAAGCTCCCATTTTCTTTTATCTATCCAAAGGACATACTCCCATTAACATTGTGCTTTGTCAATATGATTTTGTTTAGCAAATTCCAATCTGTTTGATGTTTTTCTCTCAGCAGTGGAGTTTACCTTCTAAGCCCACTGTCACACAAAAAGCAAATGGATGGTGTGATCAGACACTGATTTACCTCGCCCTTGGAGTTCAGCTTGTTTCTCTTTAGAGGTTTTCCTTGGCTCTTTGTGTACCATTCACACCCTTGTTCTGTTCAATCTGGGGTTGATTTCCCTCTTGCATTACCCAGGGATGTTGACTGCATTCCATGGACCTTAATATTATTAAAAATCACAGGAACATAAAGCTGTTTGGATACGTTCATATAGCCTTTACCCTTGACATACTGCTTTTAAATGTTTTTTGTTTTGAATCTCCTCAGACAACTCTTTCCTTTGCTTTCTCTGGTCCATGTTCAATGTGGTGCACACCATGATACCAAAAAGCAGAGTGACTGCTTTTCTCCATTCTAAATAGACTGATTACATGATTGAAGACGTGATAGCAATTACAGAGAACAGTTATTTTGAAATATCGCTATGATCCAGTTATTTATAATCTTTACTAGGGTTACCAACAAAGCTGCCCATTTCATTTTAGAATATCTTTGTACAGTAAGCAAACATTTCTTTTCACTTTTTTTTTATTTGCTTTACTTTGACATACCAAAGTCACACAGATATACATGAGACTTTTACTTTTCAAGAGAAATGGAGCATTGTTTTAATGACCTGTAAGGGTGCCAACAAATGTGCCTACATATGTATGTTTACTGCAGGGACCAGATTATTGCAGATGTAGCTGCTCTGTATCTGTACTGCACACCGCTCTTTGCAGATTATTTCACAACATACACTAAAGTGATTTGAATTGCTAAAGCCTTGTTTAATCTAAGTGACTCTAATTAAATGTAACAAATGACCTGTATGTGGAGGTCTTTTCATCTGCTCTTCTTCAATTATTTTTTTCATCTTAAATGTTTAAATAAAATCTGAACATGTTCTATAAGATGTGATCAGGTTTTCAAAGCATGTAGTATATCCAAGATTTTTCTGTGCAGTTGATCTTTACATAATTTCCAATCAATTTAATCTTCAATTGGTAATAGAATAGGATTTTCAGCAGCCTTTTTTCCCCTTAATTTCTCCATCTGTTGGCTCTTTGTCTCTTCCAGGTCTTGGTGAATGCCATTTAATGCTTGCAAAAGGCGCACTTGCAGATTTCCTGGATGCCAAGGCAGTTGATGTCATAGAAAAAGGGCTTGAATATCTGACAAGGTCGGTGTCTCATAATCAGAGTTATTTTCTGACTCTTGATTCCAAAAAGATGTAAAAGAAGCACACAGTTGTCCATTTTAAAATCATTAAACTTTAATCTAAATTATAAAAAAAAAGAAGAAAGAAATGGGAAAAAATTCCAGTAGGAAAAAAAATATTAGTAGCCAATTAAAAGATAAAAAAAAAATTGCCTCTTTTGCTTCCATACGTGCCATCAGTTCAGAGCTGCCACCACGGTATTTGTTTGCATTACAAATTGTCCTCAGTCTTCCAGGTTGAATGACAGTGAGCATCATTCAATCTTCCACCTCTTAGCCCAGACAGTCATGCATTAATGACTGTCATGGGCCCACCCCAGTCTGCGCATGGACAGTGAAGAAGAAGTAACACAGCGATGAGCTCATCTCTCTTTCACTCTGTTCTCCTATCAGCATGCTCCTGCCCAGCACATGCCTAATTGGCATCTTGTGCTGCTTCTTCTTCTTCCACTTTGCTGTACAGGGACTGCAAGAGGATGATACCAGGTGAAATGCAGGTACTTATACTGTGTGTATGTAAAAAAAAGATGCTTAATGATCTAATATTAAATACAGAAAGTGCATTTGTTTTGTGTGACAAGGCTTTACTGGTTAATTATTCTAGAGGTCTTGGACATGACTATGCAGTCTGTCAAAGTCTGGATAAAACATTTTTTGTCACACATCTGTGCATATCAGCTGTGTTTTCGGGTACTTAAATGGGGAAAAGGGGTAATGGGTAGAAACGGTGTTTAAAAGGAGAGTGCCACACTCCTGGTTTTATGTTGCAAAAAGAGGGTATTTTGGAGATTGGGGTTTTTTAGGCACTCGAGACAATAGTTTAATATAAAAATTAGAACTTTTATTCAATACATGATTAAAAAGACGAGCTCATATTTATAAAAAAGAGAGAAAGCCGATTCAAGGAGAACACCAACAAGCTCCACCAGAATCCTGAATTATGACTAATTGTAGTCACATAAATATATTATTAGATTCATGCAAACAGATTTTTAATTGTAGGTCGCACCCCCTACATTCTGGTTGGTATATCCTAGTTGACTAGACAGCCGAGAAGTTTAATCATAGTATTTGACATCGAATCAAGATGGAACAAAGGATATTATTGGTTGTATGCGACCATCCATTATCTCTAATTGTATTTGGTATGGCCCTTGGAAAAAGGTGATTGTTAGATACAGTTGGTTCAAGGTTGCTATCCTAACAATGGTTTATAGTCTCTTTGTCGAGTCAACTGGCCATGTCAACCATTAACAGTCACTAGTGCGTTGCTGCATATTATATTGTATACAAAGTCTCAAAGAGAGGTATAATCTAGCAGTTTTTTGAATTCAGGAGATTGGGACTGGTAAAGTAGCGACGACGCGTTTCGCGTGTTGCCACGCTTCCTCAGGTCTGAGGGTGTTCAGTCCCCGGATGAGCCAGCGGATGCCCTCATAGAGTATTGTCAAATATTTGAAGAAATTTCGAGAGTTTTTTCAACACGTTTTTTTAAAACGTTTTTTAACTTTCGTCCAGACAGTGGAATGAGTCAGTCAAGATAACCGCATCTGTGTCTTGTACACTCATGTTAGGACCCTGCATGTGTGTCTAATGATTCATTCCATGAGAGGCCATCGCTGTCTATCCGAGCAAGGCTTGCCAGACAATTGAATCAGAGTAGTACTTAGCAGAGGTTTGACTTTAACATTTTTTTTTTTCATTTTTGTTTACTACTGGCAATATCTTTAATTCCAGAGCGGTTCAGCAGCGGCCAGATCTTGTATGTCTATGGAAACTTCTTGGAGATGCCTGTACCAGTCTTCAAGCAGTCTCAGCAGCTAAGGTCAAAATTAATGTTTTGGGTGCCCTTGTTGGACAGAATGAAGGTCATAAAGTGATCAGTAAATCGGAGACCTTAGAGCTAGGAGCAAGGTAAGAACTGTGTGTATTTTTAATCTACTACAGGACCACCCTGCAAATATTGAACAATATGCATTAGGGCATATTCAAGTACAAAAAAAATTGGGACTTAAGCTTTAACTTTTGTGTCCCCCCTTCCCCCATATTAAATAAAATTGCCAAGCTCTACATACCCTCTCCATTCTGCAATGCTGTCCCCAGCTTTTTTCTCTGTTTAGAGCTGGCGTTCCTTTTTGGATTGAACAACAGTCTGTTTCTTTCTGCCCATTTGCTGTTAGACCAGCAGTCACAGACTAAAAATGTATATTGCAGCGTTTCAGTTGCAGTGTAATGAATGGTACTGCGTACAGTTATGTTACGGCTGAATATATAGCTTTAGCCTACCAAGGCAGAATGGGAAACTGTGACACCGCACCTACGTATGTCTTCATAGCTTTGTGGAACCCCAAAAACTTTTTTTTTTTACATCTTGTGTTTACTTTCAAAGGTGTTATGGGCGAGCATTAAAGCTTCAACCGTCTGCAAATATCTGGTGTGATCTTGGCATAAATTATTATTACCAAGCTCGAAACCTAATAAACTGTGACAGCCAAGGAAGTGACACAAGTAATTTATTGGAAAGATCCATACAGGTATGTTTGTGCTACAAGGGAAAAAACATGTTTCTACAGAGGTTACCCGAGTACTAATTATGTGTTTCTCTAATGGTTCATGACCAATCTCTAATTTAGCAAGGCAAATGTTTAAATAGTTCTGATTGATGTCAGTTGAGTTGTAATCGATATACAAACAGTTTGTAGTCAGTGATATAGAGCCATTACATTAACATCACCTTTGAAAACATTTTACCTAAGATGGATAAGTATGTGTGTAAAAGTTCTAAGTGACTGTAGGGATCAAGAATATTCACAATACGGGTGATCTAGTGAAGAGCTATGTTTTCCAGCACACTGCCGACTTCCTATATGAGAACACTGCCATCCTTCATTTTCATATCTTCCTTTGCTTAAAGGAGAACTATGAGGTGAGTGCTTTTCACTCACCTCATAGTTCTAGCCGACCTGTGACAATGAGACTGTCTTAGGTCGGCTCAGTAGATCGGGAGGTGAGCAAACACATACCGGCGTTCGCTCACCTCTCGATCCTGTCACGGCTCCCTGCCTTGACAGGGGAGGGGCTGGATTCCCCCTCCCCGCTCCGATCCGCCAGCGCTGACTGACGGAATGGACGGGGGAGGGGGCGGGTACAGCTGGCTCTGCCTCTAGATAGGCAGAGCCAGCTGTCAGTCACGCAGCTCGGCGGATCCAAACATAATTGTCAGGATCCACTTCAGCCTCGGCGTCTTAGTATACCGCGAGCAGTAGCTCGCTGTATACTGCGGTGTCTCAGTATACTGCTAGCTGCAGCTCGCGGTATACTGAGCCTAGGGTGACGGGAGGACGCTAGTTTGTGTACTCCCATTACCCTAAGGAGAACTATGGGGAAAAGCCATAACCCCATAGTTCTCATTTAACATGACAGCAATAAGCTGCACAGCAACATTACATAAACAACATTTATTTTGCTTCACTGCAGCTCTGGGAACTTTTTAATAGCTGTGAACATAAGCAATAGCTTTTTCACATGACTCGCAACATTACTAGTTCTTTAACCCTACAGACTGGGAGGCCTGCACATAAAATACATCTAAGACATGGAGTATTGTTTTTCAGTTGATCTTTTTATTTTTTGTTTAGTGCATTAAGAAATCGCTCATGATGGACAGTACTAGCCATCAGTACTGGAATGCACTTGGGGTTGTTTGCTGCTCTAAAGGTATGATCACATGTTATAATTTAGTGTTCACAAAGTATGCATAATTATTTTTAGAATTTTTCAATATCAATAGCTGTTAAAAATGTTATGACTGCTGGTACATTTTGAGCTACTAATGATTAAAGAAGCACTCGAGCTCCATCCAGTTAAGATCAGAAAGGCAAGATTTGCCTCCTTGTCAACAGATTTTCAAATACAAAGTGCCAGTGTTGGCTGAAATTCTGCAGTTTTCCCAGGAATTTGGTATCTATTTTCTTCCCCAGTCTCTTGTCCCAAAATAAATTCTTTTGAAGAGATAAGTGAATATTTTAGTTATCTATGGAGGACACAACGTTTATGTTTCATAATAATCTTGTACTGATCATTTGTACCTCAAAAGCACTTAGTGCTGAAAATTTTAAACCCATTTTTTTTCTAATAAAAATGATCCATCTTTTTTAGGTGTCAACAATAATGTTCTTGCACAACATGCTCTTATCAAGTCAATTCAGTGTCAGCCTAATGTGAGTATTGAATGTTCAGTTAATAAACCACCCATACCTTTAACAAGTATTTCTGCCTTGCGTTCCTGTTTATTAGTAGTCTCTTTTTCTTTCTAATCTCTTTTTCTTTCTATACAGAATGCTGTTGCATGGACTAATTTGGGTGCTCTGTATTTAGTGAATGAAAACATTGAGGTAAGACAGCGTGCAGACTTTCCCTCTTGTTGTATACCTAACCTCCTTATCGTACAAGTGGCTACATGTCAAATAAACGTGTACGTTGTGTTGTGATGCAAATAAATTCTTTATTTTTAAGCTAAGCCATCAAGCTTTTAAAGTGGCCCAGTCTCTTGAACCATCATATGTGAGATGCTGGATTGGACAGGTGAGTCAATTTTAAAGGGACAGTGCAGTATTTTTGTTTTATATTTACCTTTTGTTTTCCAGATAACAAGTTAGTCATATTATAACATGCAGAAAAGTAAATAGCACAAGCGCCAGCATCTGTAACTGTGTAAAAATGCAATGTGATACACTCTCGAGGCAGATCCCGCTGGTTAGGGCAACCAAAAAACTGAAATAGAAGACAGAGAGCGCCTCCACCGTGTAAAACGTTTTAATTTAACGATATATAAACAGCCAAATCTATACTCGCAAACAAATGGCATTAGCAGGCATATAGAAAAGATGGGCAAACGAAAACACAGATACCGGTAGTGTGTAAAAGCCTCAGCCGACAGGCTGTAAGTCCTCCCTGGTTTACGCATTTCAGAGGCCACGCCTCCTTCAGAACAATGCAGTTACACTATATTGCCAAAAGTACGTGGACACCATTACAAGTTAAGTTTCTCTGTTTCCAGTGAACGATACGGTTAATAGCAAAGAATGGCATTTTAGATAAATGCAGCCATACATACACAGTTTGGTGCGGAGGAACTTAAGTGACCAGTGCAGAGCCCTAACCTCAACACTATTAAGCACCTTTGGTATGAAGTGAAAGGCAGATTGCGAGTGAGTCTTCGTACAGGATGCAGGGGCTAGGACTATGTAGCCCACATAGTTCAGGGGTCAGGAGTCTGTAACACAGAGTGCATGAGGTCAGGAGTGTGTGATGCACAGCCCTGTGTACATAGAGCACAGGGCTTAAATCTCCCCTCCTGTACACATGCTCCCCCCTCTATTGCAC